AAACGCGAAGAGAGCGAGCAGTGGGCGTTTTCCCGAGCCAGAGTGTGGTTGGAGTGGTGTCGGGAAGGTGCGGGTGGGGGTAAAGGTTGTAGAGGAGGGCAGCGTGGTAGAGAGCGTACCCCCAAAGAGAGTGAGGAGCGTTGGAGTGGCTGAGGAGGCACCGAGTGATCTGCACCAGGGTGTGGTTGCGGCTCTCAGCTATGCCGTTCTGTTGAGGGCTGTCAGGGAGGGTGAAGTTTTGCTGGATGCCTTCGGAGGAGCAGAAGGCTTTGAGCTTGTCGTTGCAGAACTCACCCCCCCCATCCGAGTGAAGGCGCTTGACCTTGCGGTCAAAAGTGGTCTGTGCCTGCTTGACCCACGCTATGATGACCTCGGGTGCCTCAGCCTTAGTGTGGAGGAGGTGAACAGAGACATAGCGGGAGTGGTCATCCACAATGATAAGGAAGTAGCGATAGCCACCTCGTGCGAGAACAGGGGCAGGGCCCCAGACGTCCATGTGCACGAGGTCCAGTGGTGCTGCAGCGATTGTGGGTGAGGCAGCATGGGGCTGTTGGCGCAGTTTGCTCTTGGTGCAATCAAGGCACGTGGGAGCTGGTGAGTCAGGTGGTGGAGGAAGTGCGGCTGGCAGGCCGAGGAGAAGTTTCTTGGAGGCCATGTCAGCAAGAGTGCGGAAATTTGGGTGCCCGAGCCGATGGTGGTAGAGGATGGTCGGGTTGGAGAGGGTGCGACATGAGCATGGTGTGATAGTGGCCTGTGCTTGGGTGGTTGACACCTGTGGGAGAGGGACGCGTAGCGTGTAGAGGCCGTTGCTGTTGAGGGTGTAGCGGGCCAGAGTTTTGTTGGTGCGTGGATCGATGATGTCGCAATAGTCCTCGTTCTCTGGGAAGATGGTGCGTAGCCCTGCCTCCTGAATTTCTGTTTGGGCAACTAGATTGTGACGCAGTGAAGGCACGCACATGCCAGTGACAGTGCCGGATGGGAAGGCGGGGCATGGGACTGTGGAGGTACCCTTGGCGAGGGTGGTGAAGCTTGAGTCAGCTCCTAAGAGAGGGATAGGTGTTGGGTAAGGTTTGAAGGAGAGGGTCTCCTTGAGCACGGTGTGAGTGGCCCCGCTATCGAGTGTGAACTCTATGTATTGTGGTGCCTGTGATGAGCCGATGTACTGTGAGGTAGCTTCATTAATCATGGCAGTGCCAGGGAACAACAGGTTGATACGCACATCAGCAGGAGCAGCATCACTAGCACTAGTCGAAGCGGGGTCCTGGACCTCAACTAGGTTGGCCTTGCGAGAGCGCATCCAATTCGGCGGCTTCTTGTCCACTCCGTGAATGGCGTACCATTCGTCGTCTTTCTTCTTGAAGCACGTGGCGAGGGGGTGGTTAGTGCCACCACACACTTGTCCCTTGCGATTCCCATACTTGACGACGTAGGGGCACGGAGGAAAGCGGTTGCGCTGGAAGGGCGCCGAGGCGAGAGCCGCTGCGACACTTGCTTGAGGCATGGGAGCGCGGATAGCGTACGCCTTGGCCTGAGCCGTGGAGTCTTTCTCGGCAGAGAGGAGTGCGGTGGAGACCTTAGCAAAGGTGAGGTCCTCTGCTGAGAGTGTGAGGAGCATCTTCCTCGTGACCTCATATGCCGAGGTGAGTCCAACAAGAAGGGCGGCTGCAGGGGCTTGCTCGGGGAAGACTATACCCAGCTCCTTGAGTTCGCCATGAATGGTCTGCACCTTGGCAATGTAATCGGCCATTCCCGAGCAGTCCTCAAGGCGGACCTGAAACATGCTAGGGATGAGAATGGCCACGCCGACCGCCGTCTTGTTCATGAACCGATCCTGGAGGTACTTCCAGATGGCGTTGGAGGTAGGGTAGTTATGGAACGTGTTGACAAGTTCGGGAGGGGTGGAGGCGATGAAGACGCTGATGATGGCAGCATCGGCCTTCTCCCATTTCCGGTACTTCTCAACAGCCTCCTCGTACGCCCTCACGTCAGTATCACTTGGAGATTCGGTCGGCTCACGGGGAATAGTAGGCTGTTTCCCCTTGCCACGGTTGAGGAGGACGTCCTTGAGGTCAAGGCCCTGCACGTCACGGCTCAGGAGGTGCTTGTCAACTCCGTAGCTCCACGCCTTGAAGTTGGAGCTAGAGCCATCAGCTTCAAGGCGGAGCGGGGTGATGGGGTTCGCCATGGTGGAAGACGAGAGAGCCATGGTGGAGACCCCTTCTCGCGCGGAGCGCCGCTCTTAAGTCACCGATAGGAACTGCGGGGAGGGGGAAGGGGTAGGAGTGCAGATGCGGGGCGACGGGCGGCAGCCCGACGTGAAGCTGCGGGGCGACGGGCGGCGGCCCGACGAGAAGCTGCAGGGCGACGGGCGGCAGCCCGACGAGAAGCTGCGAGGCGACGGGCGGCGGCCCGACGAGAAGCTGCAGGGCGACGGGCGGCAGCCCGACGAGAAGCTGCAGGGCGACGGGCGGCGGCCCGACGAGGAGGAAAGCGAGCGTTAGGTTATAGCGCGGACGATGCGCTTACCAGATAAATTACCGTCGAAAGTGACGGGAAGGTGCAGCGGGAAAATTTCCGCCGACGAATGTCGCGAATCACCGGCGACGAGGTTGACGATGGCTTCGCCGAGGTTTGCGGGACGAGTATCCGCAGAGGTAAGAAGATCACGATCCGCGTATGCGGTTGAAGGGCTCTGATATTATGTCAGAAATAGGCTTAGAAGCGATGCATTAGTAATGAGCTTGAAGCTCTTTAAGTACATCCAAGAGGGGTAGGAAAAGGATGGGGAAGGGAATCGGGGGCAATCTCTAGGGATTGGGGGTAATCCCAAGGCAATCTCCAATTGGTGGGTTGGAGATTGGTTGGAGATTACATTTGGGTTTGGTTGGGATGTAGGTGTACACCCAACCAAACACAATGTGCAAACTACACTACTCTAGGATATAGAAAATACAAAGTACAAATTGTGAGATTGAAGACTAACACTAACACCACCATCCACCACGCACAATCCACCATCCACCATCCAGCGTCCACCATCCACCATCCACCCCTTTACTCACCACCATGGCAGCCTAGAGGGCGGGGAAGGAAGTAGGGCAGAGGGACAGCTACACACAGTAATTACCCCCCCCATCTCCCACCCCCCTTTCCTCCCACCATTTTCCTATCCCCCCCTTATCCACCATCTCACCGGCACTGCCTTGTTTTCGCCCCACCCCCCCCCCTCCCCCCTCCCCCCTCCCCCTCTTCTTACAATGCACCCACGGGAGGGCATGAGAGACAGGAAACGAGTGGCAGGGCCGTGGCAGTCCAGGGGGACGAGGAGGAAGTAGGGCCAGGAGAGCTTCACCCTAGCGCCCTGCCATGGTGTGCTGGAAGAGGTGGGAATGTGTGGTGCATGTATGAGGATGGGTGGTGAGTTTCCGGAGATGTGCATGCTTTGGCATGGTGGGCACCCTGCCAAGATGTGCTGGAAGAGGTGGGAAGGTGTGGGTGGGGCGAGGTTTTGAGAGGAGTTGGGGTTGGGGGCGATGGGGGAGGAGGGAGGGAGGGAGAAGCAAAGAGAATGGGGAAGCAAGAAAGGTAGAGCGGACCGTCACGCAAGAGATACCGAAATCTGCAAGTATGTGGCACCGGAGCACGGTTGCACTGAGTGTGCTGCCTGATTTAGAGTAAATTATAAACATGGCGTCAAAAAAATGCTTATAAGGCTTTCGAGGTCATCACAGTAGAGGCTCACTCGTCCCTTGCAACCTGAGGCCTCCATCTCGTCAACGCGATTCGGTTGCAGGGGGCGAGTGAGCCTCTACTGTGATGACCTCGAAAGCCTTAGAAGTAAGTTTCGGACGCTTTGTCCATAATTTACTCTAAATCAGGCAGCACACTCAATGCAACCATGCTCCAGTACCACATACTTGCAGATATCGGTATCTCTTGAAAAATACGGTGCAATGCTAGGTCAATATTCATTCCACCACCATCCCAAGCCACTTATTTTTATGTCGGAAAACGCTGTGAAACAGCGCATGCAGGTAGAGTTTGTCCAGCTTGCTTTCACCGGTCTAGCATCCAATCCCCCAACGGCAAGCGAACCACAAACTTGTAAAATCTCTTGCCCGGTACCGCCACAGGCCAGGGTTTCCAGGCTGGGCCACTCAGCAAAGTCAGTCAAAAGTACGGTATTCACTTGCGACAGTGGTGGCAGGCAATGCGCTCCCCGGAAAAGGCCAACAGGGTGGTGCAATCCAGCACTGTTGACCCGTGTCCCATGGCCCCATGTTGGTAATCTCTGTGTACACTGACTTGCGCAAGCCACTGAATCATCACCAACTGGCTCCTGACAGGAGGATCAGGGCGTGGGGGAGGAAGACGGTGGGGGAGAGACGTGCGGCCGAGGCGTGAGGGGGAGGCGTGAGGGGGAGGCGTTGGAAGGAGGCGTGGAGGGGAGGTGCAGGGGGGAGGCGTGGGGGAGAAGGGGTTCCGGAGTGGGTCCGGCGAGAGGTTAGGGGGAGAGGGTTGGGAAAGAGGTTTGGGGAAGTGGGGGGAGAGGGGCGTGGTAGAGAGGGGTGAGGGTGGAGCGTGTGGAGATAGTGAGGGAGAGGTGCGGGGAAGCAAGGTGGGTAGAAGTTGTTGGGGCAAGTGGGCGGAGAGAGATGAGGAGAGGGGTGGGGAAGAGGGGTGAGGGAGAGGGGTGGGAGAGAGGGGTGCAGAGAAAAAAAAGGTATTGCGGCTTGAAAAAATAACCAATCTTTATGTCTGGTACCTCAACCTTTTTGTCAATGCCTTCACCTACCCTCATCTCCCTTCACACCCCCCATCTCCTCTTAAGCCTTCCATATCCCCCTTATCCCATCGCCCCCCTCGCCCATGGGTGCAGCCACTCATGCATGCCCTGCGCCATCACCCCCTCCAACCCTATCACCCTCACCGCTCATCCCCAAATCCCCTCCCCTCCTCTCCACCCCAATCTTCTCCTCACTCACCCGCAGGCGCGGTCACTAGCGCATGTCCTGCTCCAGCATGCGCAGAACCATTCGGTCTGCTACTGCTGGCACACGGTCCTCACACATCTGGTGGGGGGGGGGGAGGGGGAGAAGGGGGAGGGGGGACGCCTTATAATACAACCAGCTTGCGCAGCACCACGCGGTCTGCTGGCACCACGCGGTCTGCTGGCACACTCCTGGCAGGGGGACGAGGGTGCGCAAAGGGCATGGGGGAGAGGGATAAGGGGAAATGATTTGAGATGTCTAAGAAAAACAAGCACCATGCGGCCTGCTGGCACACAGTTGTCAACACAGGCTTGTACGTCTCAATAAACAAGCACCAACCACCATACCCTCCCCCTCTTTCTCCCCTCTCCCCACCTTTTCCTCCGCCCTCCCCACAACTCCCCCCTGCGCCTCTCCCTTCTCCTCAGGCGCACCTCGACGGGAAGCAAGCAAGGGATGGCGACGGGGATCTCGTCGCAGGCGGTGATCTGCGCATCAGGCGACTTGCGCTGCCCACCGGACCCCACTGCCTCTTCACTGGTTGGCTCCTCCTACCAGGCGCAAGGCGTGGGGAGAAGGGTGGGGAGTGGGGTGCAGTGGAGGCACGGGGGAGAAGCATGGGTAGGGGAGATGTGTGGCAGAGTGGCGTGCGCAAGAGGAGTGGAAGAGAGGCGTGGGGGAGAGGCTAGGGATGCAAAGAACAGAGGAAAGAACTCCTAAATCTTGCTCGTTATACCTCCCACTCCTCAACCCTTGCCATCCCTGCTCCTCATCTTGTTCCCCCTCCTCCCTCACCGTACCCTCTTCTCCCTCCCCCCCTGCTCCCCACCCCGGCAAGCACTGCTGCAGATGACTACTTTTATTGGAATCAGGGTGAAAAATTGGATTTCCTAGAACTCACGGCATTACTGAATGGAAACTAAATCAGGGTCTATTAGGCAGATTTACCGGGAGAATTTGACCACCAAATTTTCCGGGTGAGAGTGCTCAATTCACTACTCACCCCCGAGCAAGCAGGTGAACCAACAGCACTTCATCAGAAGCCCTTCTGGTCCTCCCTGCTGCAGTGTGCCTTACTGCCACTCCCACCCAGACAACACCTTCTCCCCTCACAAACCACCCTGCCCCTCTCAAGCCTCTCCTTTCTCAGGGCCCTGTGAGCGGAATGTGGGCTCCTTGTTAGTGCTCTCTGCTGCAGTGTGCCTCATTCACATCACGTGCCCCTTCTCCCCCTCCCTCCTTCTCATGCCTCTCATTTCCCCTGTCCCTTTGGCCGGCATGTGAGCTTGTGGGAGGGCCAGGCAGCCTTCTGGCACGCTCTGCTGCAGTACGCCTCACTGCCACACCGCGCACACAGCTTCAGCTCCACGCCATCCCACTCCACACAGCCGCACCTCGGCCCCTGACATACCCGCCTGTACCCTGATTTCAGCCGCTCTGCGCGGGTATCTACACCCGATGCATCTGTCCAGAAAGTGCCTGCTGGGTTTCCGGCTCCTCCACTTCTTGCTGCTCTGCTCCCTGCTCCTGCTCGAGTCCGAGTGGCGCTGTCCCCTGCTGCTCGTTTTGCCGTTTCTGGCATCGCTGCTAGCCCACCTGTCCATGGCTCCCCCAGCAGCATGGCTCTCAGGCAAGCCACCAGGTTCACTCCTCCCAGCCACTTCTGCGCATAAACCGGCCTCTCCTCCCCTCCCACCACCTCCTCCTCGTCTTCCCCCTCCTCCTCCCCCTCTTCCTCCTCACTGCTCTCACGGTTCGTCCCTTTCCTGCCACCTGTGCACTCATCCCCCAGCTCTCCCATCCAGTTCCTCTTGTCCCCGGGCCATGCAGCCTTGGTAGCGTGCCTCCACGCCCGAACCTCCTCCCACATCTCACTATCCAACTGCTTCCACTTGCCCACCCCACCCTTCCCTTGCTCCGCACCCTCCTGCGCTGCAAGCCGAGCAAACCGCCCTGGATTTGTCTCCTCCTCTTTGGCCCACATCCACGCTATCATCGTACACGCTTGTGTGAAAGTCCCCATCTCCTTTTCCTCCGCGAACCCTTCCAAGTGTCCTCTCACATGCCGCCAGTGCACCCTCTCTTCAAGCCCTGACGGCATGAACATGCGGAGAAGCATGTACGCCTCTTTGGTTTGGTCGGGGGGGAACAGGAAGAGGAAGCGGTGGATGAGGGTGGAGATCGGGCGGTATGCGAAGGAGGCGAGCAGGGCGACGTAGTTGATGGCAGCGGCGTGCCTGAGGTGGCACTTCCAGCACCGCGTGCACCTGGAAGGCTCTCTCTCTGCTGCCATCAGTTCCACCAGGAACTCCACGTCTGCCACCGTGCGAACCACCGGACGGCTTTTTGAAGCTGCTGCTGATGACGACGCTGCTGCTGCATGCGCTGGAATCTTCCAGTCAACAGTGGCCCCATACACCTCCTTAAGGATTCTCTTATATAGAATCCTCCCCTCCACGTCATCAGCAAGCTGTATAGTAGCTTCATCGCCAGCGGGCACCTCTTCCCACTCCCAAGAAAAGCCCCGCCGAGCCAAGGGCTCCGGCATGGTGCCGGACCTGATCAGCAGGCTTGGGACATCCCGGAATGGGTGGCGAAGGACTGGGAGATCCTCTTTTCGCTTGACGCAGGTTCGGAGTTCACACGTTTTCGAAAATTGCAGGTTCGGGCCGTAGGTTCGGACCCACATGAGAATGCAGCTCACCCTCCACGTCAGCACAGTCACGAGCGTGTTACTGGTTGCGGTTACCGCCTCCCAGCCATCCTTCACTGTATCTCTCACACCAATCTCAGCTCCACGGCTCTTGGTGTCAGCACCCCCTCTCTCTCTTTCTGCACCCATGCCTACTTTCTTCCTGGCAGCCTCAGCTGCAGAATTCTCCAGCTTCACTCTGTACTCGTTATTAGCATCTGTGAAGAATATCCGGCAAGCCTCCATGGAGAATCTGGGCTTGGAGAGCACTGTAGCAACGGCAAGGGCGAAATCAGTGGCGCCAATGCCACTCTCAAACATGCCCTTGGGAACACCGCTGCTGCTGAAAGCCTTGGCGATGCGTGAGATAAGAGCACCATTTGGATCACCGCTGCTAGACACGGCTTTTGGAACCCTTGTCCCGCTCCATCCTTCATGCGCAAGAAGACAAGCCATACCGCCCACATACCTGTCCCACACAGGACCCCCCAGCCCCTGCCTCCACTCCCCACTGCTGCCCGCACCACCACCATCACCTTTTCCCCTGCGTCTTCCACCTTTTCTCCCAGCCTCCCAATTCCCCCCTTTCCTCCCTTTCCTCGCACCATCTGCTATTCCGCCCTTTCTCCTCTCCTCCCCTGCTCCACCCTCGCCCTCTCTGTGTGCCTCCGCACCACCAGGCAGCAGCGGCAGCACATGGGCTTTAAACCCGTCTTTCATCTCATCTCCTCCCTTCACCCCCAGCACCTGCACCAGCACCGACGCCAAGATATCTTCCTCCCCCTGCCTGTGTGCCCCTAGCTCCTCCACAATGGGAGCGAAGAGGCCTGTAAGGGAGGCAAGCTGGGCCCTCCATAAAATCACAAAGCGAGGAGAATTCGCTACAAGCACAAGGAAGGCGCAGAGGGACACAGCGCGACGGTAGGAGGCCCAGCAGCTGCTGCAGCGCCAGCAGCACTGCCAGGAGACCGAGGCAGGGGGGTTGGGCGAGTGGAGAGCGGACTTGGAGGAGGAGGCACCGCTTGTGCCAGGAACAGAAGGAGCATCTGTAGCAGCAATGATTGTGGGCAGGAAGGTTCTGATCCTCCCCAGGTCCATGAGCACGCCCACACGAGGCTCAGCCATCCACTCGAGAATCATGTCTTTCGCACACAAGTAAGGGGCGCGATTCCACTTGTTATCATTAACGCCTCCTTCCGCCCCCATCTCTGCGGCTCCCTTCCCTTCCTCTTCCGCTACGTTTTCTCCCTCGCCTGCTGCTCCAATCACTGCTGCTCCCGTAGCTGCTTCTCCCGCCCCCTTCTCTGCCACTACTTCTGCTACACCTTTTGCCGCGTTGTTTCCTTTCTCACCTCCCAGGGACCCACCTCCCCCCTGCCACTCTGGTGCTGCCAGGGGAATGGACTTGGGCAGATGCTGAAGCAAGTCGCGTTGGAAGTCCTTCAAGCTCAGAATGCCAAGGGCCGCTTTCCCTCGGGTGCCGAGCACACGGTGGAAGCAGCAGGAGCAGGGAGACTCAGCCTCGCACGCGCCAGAGCCGTATGAGTGAACGAAATGCACCATATCGGATCGAGATATCAGCGAAGAGCCACGCTTTGAACCACCTTGTTTCACCGCGGTCTGCCCTTGCTCCTGGTTCTGTTCCCTACACTGCTCCTGCTTCTGCTCTAGCTGTATTCCGAAAATCCGCCTGCCCACTTTCTCCGATTCCCCCTCCTCTCTCTCCCCAGCATCCTCCTTGTCGCTGCTATACTCTCTCTCGTCCTCATCGATCTGTCTCTCATTCTCCTCCTCGTCACTCCCGCTCTCCCTCTTCTCATCTTCATTTGCCCTCTCTCTCCCCTCCTCGTCGCTGCTATCGCCCACATGGTCCCACTTGGAGTAGTCGATTGGGCGACTCACAGCGTGCACTGGCTCCAGGACGCATGGTTGCGGACACAGCCGCAGTAACAGAAACGGGCCGTGCTATAACGAAGTGTTCCTAAAACGAGCGTTGAAATTCGTCAACGCTGGAGGTGATTTCCAATTCGCCTAAAACGCCAATCGCATTAGAAGGTGTGCGAGGTGCAGGGAGGGCTGATGTGAGCAGCAGCAGCGGATGCTGCTGACGTGGCATGCAGCAATTAGTATCGCGCGCGATTGCTGATTAGATAATACTGACAACGAATAAGCTGACAAACACTTCCTCACTATTTCTGGACGCCAAAAAGACCATGTGAATAATGTCGAATTGCAACACACTAGGATGTCGAGAGTCGTTATGTATTGAATGTCGCACATTTCCCAAACCCTAAGTCGGTCACTGCTGTGTACACCGTCACTAGAGAATAGATCCTTCGAAACCCTAATATTAGATGCCAACTGGTCGTTTCGTCATGCTGGGACGAAATTGGCCAAGCCCTATCGACAGTGCATTTGAAGAGTTCGGGCATTTACTATGGTGCAGTACGGCTTATTGTTTTAAAAAAGCGGTTCTGCACGGCGCTTGACCCGAAACAAGTTCAACCCAACTTGATGCTTGCTGCAGTGACAGGGGACGGATGACCTCACCACTGTCAAAAACACCAACCGCGCAGAACCGTTCAAAACACCAACTAGCTTCAATTCTACCCCGTTGGCGCATGTTAGTTCTCAACTGCTGTCGCTGCCTGCCATTATCGCGCATCGTCAGTCGTGCAAGTGGCTATTTTTAGGCCCCGTCCCATACTGCTCACGTGATCTGACGACGTCACGACTACCTATTCTTAGCCTGCAGTAATTACAATACAAAATCTCGAAGGATTAGCTTTCTATGAAGTCGTGAATGTCGTTGGCATTCCGACCACAATGATCGACGTGAATGGTCGTGGACTGTAACTCGACGAGCATGTCTCGTCACATTGAGAGCTTCAGACATAGGCTCCTCCTACGTTCGCCTATTCTGAATATTACTGCTCGGACCAGTCAATAGACTAGCTCAATCCCATTTGCCAAACCAGCTCAGCTCTCTATGCGAGACACGTCAGCAGCAGGGAACATACGATAATGAGGAAGGCGAGAGAAGTCACATCAGTTTTTTTATTTTCTTGCGAGGTAATATAGAGCAAGCAAAGCCTGAAGCTTGTACAATTTTCGAAATGCTTCCTCTGAGGAAGGTACAAGGAGACAGATCGGGTGGAGAGGAAGAGAAGGGTGGGAAGGCCACGCCAAATGAGCCTGATGCTGCATCTGCTGCGAGTATGCCTCTTTCCGCGACCGCTACTTCTGTTGCTGCTTCCTGTGCCGCCCCTCCTGGTGCATCTACCACGACCTTTATCGACTCTCTTGAACGTGTTATAAGCGAACGGGAGGAGGTACTCTGGCAGTCGGCAATGTCCCCAAGAGGGAGTTCTGGAGATGGAATGACCCAGGATGAGGAGGAGAGCGCGAGCAGCAGCGACGACGAGGAGTGGGGGGAATTGGAACGGATAAACCTGTTGAAGATGGCGGCGCAGTGGCTTCGCCACGGAGGCGAGGGCGAATCAGGGACGGCAGCGCAACCAAGTATTGGAGAAGCACGCAGCATCGGAGAAGCTTCAGCTGCTGTCGCGGGCAAATATGGTGCATTACATGGACGTGAGAGGCGCGTGGGATTGGCGAGAGTGCGAGTGCTGCTTCGACCGAGTAGTTGGTTACCGCGCACAGCGCACACTTGGCGACGGCCTGGATGAATTCCGCTCCGACCTTCAGAGGCAGCTGCCTGACTCCATCCCCCTTGCTCCCCAGGATCGGCCATCCAGCGCCATTGTTGAGTTCTCTGCCGGAGTACCCATGGGGGGTTCTGACTGTCTGGAGGATTGGCCGCCTCATCGGGTGTTCGCTGACAAGTGTGTCCTGGCGCCGACTCGCTGTGCCGATGCGATGCTCCTCGAGTGGATGGCTGAGCCTCGTGTGGGCGTGCTCATGGACCTGGGGAGGATCAGATCCCGCCTGCCTGCCATTCTGGCCGCTACAGATGCTGCTACAGCTGCCCCTACTCCTGCAACAGCTGCTGCTCCTGCTGCTAGTGGAACGTGGGCGAGTCGCTGGGCTGCCTACCGCCGTGCTGTCAGCTTCGCTGCCTTCCTCGTGCTTGTAGCGAGGTTCCCGCGTGTTGTAAGCCTAAAGAAGGTGTCTATGACTCCAGGCTCCCCAGCTTATCCCGCAATCCTGGCCGAGCTGGGGGCGGGCAGGCAGGTTAAGAACGACTTCGTCGCTTCCGTGCTGGTGCAGGTGCTGGGGGTGAAGGAGAGTGCTGATCTGCAGGAAGGGTTTGGGTTCTTTGTGCAGGATGTGCTGTCAGGCGGGCTGGAGAAGGCGCATGGAGAGAGGAGGGGGGGAGCCGAGGGGAGGGCTGCTGAGAAGATGCATGAGGAGGGGGAGGGGGGAACCGGGGGAGAGTCTGTTGAGAAAGAGCAGGGGGGGGAGCGGAGAGCGGATGGCGATGGGATGGATAGGGTGGAAAAGGAGAAGGAGAAGGGGGGCGCCCTGGCAGGTTTGGGTACCACACAACTTGATGCTGGTGATGGGGGATGCGGAGGGGAACCGATGCATAGCACTGAGGCGAGCGGAGGGGAAGAGAGGCGCAGCAGCAGCGAGGTGGTTAATGGACCTATTGGGGGGGTTGGCAAAAGAGGGAAGAAGGGGCAATGGAGGGAGAATCTAAAGGGTCCTGTGTGGGAGAGGTATGTGGATGGCATGGCTTGGATCCTAGAGCATGGAGGAGGGGAAGGGGGGGAGTATAGGTGCAGCCACTGCAGCGAGGAGGGCGGCAACAGGGGTGGTGAGGTGCAGGTGAATGGTGTTCCCCCAGAGGAACCATCATTCCCCAGAGGCATGTACGTTAGTGGGGTAAGCGCCACAGATTTCGCTCTTGCTTTCGCTATAGAGCTGTCCAAGCCAGAGCACTGTGCAGAAGCCTGTATGCACATATTCGATGGGAACAATGTGAGTAAGGTGAGGGTGGAAGAGGCAGCAATCGAGGAGGCTAGAAGCAGGCTGAGAAAAAGGATAGGTGACAAGAGCAGAATATGGGGCTTCGGAAGGACAGGAGGAGAGGGGACAGCAGCAGACACTAGTGGGACAGCAGCAGACACGTGTGGGACAGCAGCAGACACGTGTGGGACAGCAGCAGACATGACTGGGACAGCAGAAGCATTGGCAATGGAGGATGCATCTGCTTACAGTGCTGCTGCTTTAGCTGAAACCCGGGCTTTTACACAAGCAGATGGCACTGGCTCCAGCTACAGTTCTGGTCTCGTGCCTGTTAACTCAAGTCCTGTCCTCGCAGCCTTCACATCACATATCGAGTTGCCCGCATATTACAGTGGGTTCGATCGTACGGCTCAGATGTCGTATTTGTAGAGAGATGCTTCAGGAGTAAGCCACAGAAAAGGATCTTGCAGATGCCCCATCCGTTTCGAGACCTCCCGAGCCTGCTGCTGAGGCTCGGCGCCATCCCCAAGCCTCTTCATGATGCTCAACATCCAATGGAGTGGGAGGAATGGCCACAGGGCGATGAAGCTGTCGTGAAGCTTCCAGATGATCCCAACGTGAGATTCGTCCAGCTGGGTATTGTGGAGGAGAATATGACGGTGGTGGGGAGTGGCCACATGGGAGCGGGGGTGACAGAGCAAGCATCAAAGTCTGGGAGGAAGCATGTGAGAGGGAAGGGGCGAAGAGCCAAGGCATCTGGCCAAGGAAGTGAAGTCAGAGGGGGTGATACAAACAGAGGGCTTGGCAAAGACCGAGGGGGATTTGTAAACGCTTCCGGCATGGCTGTTGCACAGCCGCCTCGGGAAAGGAAGCTTCCCATCGTCCGTTGCGTGGCAGATGCAGATTATATTGTGGAAGCGGTCGGTTTGATAGTGAGTCCACCAGCATGTGTCTACTGCAGCCCTTGCTTTCGCAGCTACAACTTCTTGATCCCTTCCATCGCCCTCATCGCCAAGTTTGCCTACCGCCCCCTACATGTGCTCTTCAACCGCTTTGTATCTGTCTTCCCGCCGCACTCCTTTGGGTTCAACACGCTCGTGAAGATCATGGGATTGTCGCCGCTTCCCCCGCGCCCGTCTGTGTCCACCTGGTGAGGATGCGTGATGAGATAGAGGAGCAGCGCGTTGCCTTCCTGCTGCTCGTTGCCATCATGTGGCCGGCTTCAATCCTGGACATGGAACAGTATAATGGCAAACAGGCGTTAGAGGGAGACGCGATTCGAGTGAAGAAGACAGTGGGGAGGAAGAAAGGGAAGGCCCGGAGAGGGGGGAAAAGGAGAGGCGGAAGAGGAGGAAGAGGATGATGGGGAGGTGTGGGAGGAGTTGCAGTCGTGGTGCTACGCAGCGATGGTTGCCTGGCCATCTAGCATTCGTGTCACATTGTGGAGTCCTGATGCCGACTCGGCGAGTTCTGGTCTGAGTGATGTGTGTACGGCCAGTGAGGGGCGGCAGAAGAAGGTGGACGTGAACACACGGATTTCGAATATGTTCAAAACAGGTGCTCTGAAGACGATCTTAAGCCCGGGGTGGTGCTGTAGAAAATAGCAGCATTAGCAGCAGTGGCGCGAAATGGGCAGCGGCACTGCTGATTCTGGCACTGTCAGCGGCGGTAGCGGTGACCGAGGAGGTTGTGATGGTGCTGGCACTAGCAGTGATGCTGCTTGTGCTGGTGATGGTGCTGGTGGTGCTGGTGGTGGTGGTATTGCCGATGCTGATAGTGATAGTGGTGTTGCTGAAACTGGTTGTGATGGTGATGGTACTGGTGTTGTTGGTGCTGGTGCTGGTGATGGTGTTAATGCTGGCAAGAGCATTGGGGAAAAGGGCAAGAAGGAGGAGGTGTTGGCTTATCTAAAGCCATGGCCGGGGGAGTCAATCTGGTGGCATGTCTGCGAGAGATGCTGCTGGGGGAGCCGTGCTACCGCCCTGTCCCTTCTGTCCCCTCAGCTGCTACAGCACCAAACACAGCTGCTACTCCAGCAAACGATGTTCCTCCAAATACTGCTGCCTCTTCTACCCACCCACCCGCACACACCGTTGCTACCACCTCTTCCACTCAACTCACCGCAACTTCTCGTGCTGCGACAGGCAATGCAGATGCAGCTGCACTCATTGCAGATAACGATGCCTCTGGTCCCGTTGCTTGCAGGGAGAATAGGTGTGGTGCTGAGGGGTGTGGGAGGGTGGAGGGTGGTGGTGTGAATCTGAGGAGCTGCTCTGGGTGTGGCAAGGTGGCGTATTGCAGCAGAGAGTGCCAAAAGGCGCACTGGCCCTCCCACAAGCTCACATGCCCCGGCAGGACCAGCGGGAAGAAGAGTGGGAACGATGGGAGCAGGGATGGCAACAGCAGTGGCAGGGCGAGTGCCAAGGTGGGTAAGCAAGATGGGTTTGCGAGGTGGATGGGCAAGGTGGGTAGGCAAGGTGTTAAGGAAAGATGGGTAGACTGATTGGTATAGTATGATAGGTAGGCAAAGTGGGTAGGCAAGGTGTTTAGGAAAGATGGGTAGACTGATTGGTATGGTATGGTAGGTAGGCAAAGTGGGTAGGCAAGGTGTTACGGAAAGATGGGTAGACTGATTGGTATGGTATGGTAGGTAGGCAAAGTGGGTAGGCAAGGTGTTAAGGAAAGATGGGTAGACTGATTGGTATGGTATGGTAGGTAGGCAAAGTGGGTAGGCAAGGTGTTAAGGAAAGATGGGTAGACTGATTGGTATGGTATGGTAGGTAGGCAAAGTGGGTAGGCAAGGTGTTTAGGAAAGATGGGTAGACTGATTGGTATGGTATGGTAGGTAGGCAAAGTGGGTAGGCAAGGTGTTACGGAAAGATGGGTAGACTGATTGGTATGGTATGGTAGGTAGGCAAAGTGGGTAGGCAAGGTGTTAAGGAAAGATGGGAAACTGATTGATTAGGTATGGTAGGTAGGCAAAGCGGGCAGGCAAGGTGTTAAGGAAAGATGGGTAAACTGATTGATTAGGTGTGGTAGGTAGGCAAAGTGGTTAAACAAGGTGTTAAGGAAAGATGGGTAAACTGATTTATTAGAAGTGGGTAGGCAAGGTGGATGTTCAATGTGAGCGTTCAAGTGAGAGTTCAATTGTGTGAGGGTGCAGTGTGTGGAGCTACCAAAGCAGGATGCCCTTTGCATGTCTGGTGTGGGATTATGGTTGCAAGAATCGAGGGTGTGTGAGCCCTCGTTTGCATGTACTTGGAATGTTGACTTCTGCTTTGCAGCCCGTCATTCACCGTGTGGTTGCACATGGATGACCATACTGCTTGCCGAGCTCCGTTAGTAAGCAGACTGGCATTTGGCTGTCTTCTTCCTTCAGTCAATTCCCTATTGTTTCTCGCTCACCCTTTCCTGCTGCTTGCACTTGCACCCTGAACCCCACTTCCTCTCCACAGGCCTAAGGTAAGGGTGCTTTGTTACAGGCATGTGTCTGAACATCTTCTTGGGGCTTGTGTCTCGTGCTACTGCGAAGCATTACGGCTGGAGCACGAGGTGTACTGCAGTTTACCACGGTGCCACACGAATCGGACGTGCGATTTTCCTGTAACAATGCATTCTACCGTCATGCCCCGGATATACCCCCATATGGGGGTGTAATAAAAAAACCTGGAAAAATGATGGGTGGGCTTATAATGTGGAAATTTTATAACCCCATGGGCTAAATAAATGGCACTAAGAGAATTATGATTTTGATACATAAAAATGTAGATCTCGGCCTTGCGGTTTCAATCGAGTCTACCAAAAAGGTGGTTGCTACAAAATTTACCGAAAATGTGCCACCCTGGCAAGATTCCCTGCCATCACGTGCTGAAATGCTGCTAACACGTGCGCGCCTGTGGCAATTTCGCCAGGGGGGCCAGAGAGAATCTCGCCAGGCACGTCAGCGATGATTGCTCCTGACGCGTTAGTTGCGAATTCACTAGAAAAAACACAGATTTGAGCAAAAATTCGTTAGGTGCGCTTATACGAAGATGACCCAAAATTAGGGTGGGCTTATACCGTAATCCCCCGCATAGTACACCCTAGGGTGTACTGATAAATACCCCCCTTTAGGGGGGTGTTTAATTATGGGGGGGGTGTAAGCCTGCACCCATGACAGGGCTCTCGTTATCAGACCATTTTGGTCTGATGGTCTGATTTTCAGACTCATTTTTATATATCCATCTGATTTTCCAATCTAGATCAGAAAAAATAATTGTTTTGCCCGGGGGACCCGTCTGACAGAATCAGACGCCATCAGATCCTAGCAAGAGCCCTGACCTGACCCATGGGTGTTATATAATGACACTTTTTCATTTGGAAAAACACTAGTTTCTTGTACTCAGCCTACTTTGTTTATCGAGTCGAGCTGAGAATGGTTGGAACTGCGCGCAGATTGCGATCCACGTCATGCTGACTCACTGGCAAGCTCCTCACACGCGCCTGAATCGATCGAAAGTAGCCCCCCAGCATCGCGTGAAAACGTTTCGGGAGGTGATGCGTCCCTCCTCACAGAGAAACTCGCTAAAATTGCCCTCGCGATTCACATTTAGATAAGGGGAGGGTGTACTGATAATTTCAAAAAATCAGGGGGGTGTTCTAACTGGTATATTTTTGAGTACACCCACCGTAATTGAACACCCATGGGTGTTTTATTTTGGGGGGTGTATTATGCGGGGGATTACGGTAATCGGTCCCTGCCCATAAGCGCACCAGTATGATAATAAGCGCATGGGTGTACATGAGGCCTGGGTGTATATCCGGGGCATTACGGTAAGTTCAGGAAACATGTAAAGCCATAATGGTCACACCTCTTGTCAATATGTTTTGAGGATAACGGTGTTGGTTAGGATACGACTCAGTATCGAAAGCACTTTCTGATTCATGGGGATTGGCAAAGAGGATAATGAATTGAAATCAGGCTCGTAAATGGCTGATATATTGGGGTTATGTAGAATTAGGCTCATAAATCCATAGCATAATCTTGAAATGAAAACAAATCAGCTTTGGATGAGACATGCTCCCAGATGGCCGACCTAAAATGTGGCTCTTGCACTTTGCAATCTCTTAGTGAGGTTTATAGACAGATAGGCCCCGCCAACAATGGGTAAATCAGATCCACGCATGTGCCGCACTCCTTTGTCCTTCCTTCACTACTCTCAGCAAGCAGCAGTGCCATCAGGCACAGTGGTGGGTCCCGTGCTGCCATGACACACGTTTCACACTACACTACTCAGCCTGCTCTGTCCCCTTCCGCCACCCATTTCCTCCACCACCAACCCTCCCCCCTTTCCCTCTCCCCCTCATCACACAACCCTCACACCATGGCAGCAGCCAGCAGTGCCAGCAGGCAGGCAGCCAGTGGGGGGAAGGCAAAGGGGTGGAGGCTGCTGCTGGGCTTGGCAAGGGAGATGGGGGAGGAGGCAGAGGGCGTGGTGGAGGGGGCTGGTGAGGGCGTAGGTGAGGGGGGCGCGGGGGGGGGATGAGCTGGCAGAAGTTGTGTTGGATGTGGAAGGGGCAGGAGAAGTGTAGGGGAGGGCAGGTGTTGGTGGTCTTTTGTGTGAGGAGATGGGAGAAGCATAAAGGGAGGCTGACGCATGGAGAAGGGCAGGGCGAGAGAGTGCAGTTTACGGATGATGGCACAAGCGAAGGCAAGGTGAGTGTGGTGGGGGGAAAGGGGGGTTTTTAACACCATATCATCTTCTGGCACGACAGGCAGGGCAGGGCGAGAAGAGCGCGAGACAGACACAGCGAAGTGTCCTGAGAACGGAGGCACAACTTGGTTGAGGGTGGGGTAAAATCGTGTGCACTCTGCAGTGGACCGTGGACTCTCGTCCCTTAGCCTCAGCAAGGTGTCTGCACCTGCACCTGCTGAAGCGTGAAAGCAGTTGGTGAAAAACCTGTGGGGGGAAAGGTGGGCAGCGGGAAAAGGAATAGTGAAAGGATGGAGGAGGGAGAGAGTGATCGAGTTAAAGAGGGCCCAGACCACCCATCCTTCACAAGCAAACCCAGCAAGGTCAAATTAAGAGCATCACTATGGAGCCATTCCCATCAAAAGGAATAATCCCCCATCCCCCACGAGTGTCATTCTCTGAGGAAAAGACTCACCTGAATTCGACATTGTGTCCAGCAGGCAGCCGCGCACAAAGTCAGTGAGGTAGTTGGAGCTCAGGTCCCTGGAGTGGCGCGGGGATTTGGGGTGGAGCTGCGAGAGAAAGAGACAGGAGAGAGGTCAGGGGAGGAGAAGCAGGAGGAGCCATGTTCTACATTGTAGAATAGCTCTATTTATGATCAATATGATATTCTTGATAGACTGTCTAGCAACTCCCTTTCCATCCCTCATATCTAACCTGCAAAGCATCACATTCTGCCTCTATTCCATGCATCCGGACATTATCCACTTCTGTTCAATGCCTTGTCATCTGTCACACGTGGGCAATAAATGGTTTGATTCATTCTTAACCCTTTTTTGATTAACCTGCATTCCCTCATCAGGCTCCCTCACTCCGGGAAGAGCCTTATAAAAACATTTACACCTGGCGATAGAGGCGTGATTAGGAGGGGTTTTGAGAAAGAGTGGGGAGAGGCACGATATGGATCTCCTGGCTCCTGGTGGCTTGTGGATCGTGGCTCGTGCAAGTAAGGGAGTAGCGCACATGCAGGGGCAGGGCAGGCAGTGACCTGCCAAGTTGTTATAGCAACCATTGCAATGAGGACCAGAGCCCATACAAGGGCATGGTGGGGAGATCATGAGGTAATAAGACAACGGTGTGATGGGGAAATGGGTTAATAGCATGCTGGCGGGGTAATGGGGTAATGGGATGATGGGGTAATGACGTAATTGGGTGGTGGGGTGAAAGGATGATAGGGTGATGAGTTGATAGGGTGATGGGATACTGGGGTGATGGGGTGATGGTAGGCATGAGCATAATTCCGGGCTGGGCCCGGCCCGCGTCGGGCCGGCCCGGAATTGCCACGGGCCGGGCCTCAGATTTTGGGGTTCCGCCCGTGGCGGACCGGGCCGGCCCGGCCCGCCGGGCCGTAGGTAGCCCGACATCGGCCCAACATTTTTGGGCCGGGCCGGGCCAGCCCGGGTTGAATCGCGGCCCGGGTCGGGCTGTTCTGGCCCGCCTATTCCCCTTGCGACAAGTCGCTTAGTGAACTCTACTTATAAGCTAATAATGTGCTGGTCGAGTAAACCCTAAGAGATGATATGCTGTCGACTAGATCCCAGGCCAACAAATGCGGCCAGATCTAGTCGACCTGGGTTGGAAATTGATGAATTGGTTGGAAATTCTAGATTCAGTGCGGTGAAATCCGGTTTCTGTTGTGTTTTGTTGGCATAATTTGAGATTTGAGTCAATTTCGTCAAATCTCAATCACGCGGGGATTTGACTGCACCCCAGCAAATGTCGCGGGGGTCAAATTTGAGCTGCGCGACAGTTTGCGCAAGCTCTAACGCAAGCTTACCCCTAGCTTCTCGCCATGTATTTAGATCTCAACTAGCCCGTTTTTCTAACTTATACTCTATCTCTCAGTAGTTAGTGATAGTTAACCGTTTTAAAGTAACGGTTCTATGAAAGGGTGGCGAAATAGTGCGTTTTAGCTTAGATTAGGTTATGATTTCAGGCATTCCGTTTTCGAAAATCATGTGTGACTCTATCGAAAGTGCACCCGGGCCGACCCGGGCCCGGCCCGGGTCGGGCCTTGCTTGGCCCGGATCGGGCCACCCTGGCCCGAGTACAAAATGGGCGGGCTCGGGCCAGGGTCTTGATCATTCGGCCCGGGTCGGGCCGGGCCTGGCCCGGCCCGGATTTTTGCCTGGCCCGGCCTAGCCCGACCCGGGCCAGGCCCGGCCCGGCCCGTGCTCAACCCTAGGTGATGGGATGATGGTATGATGGGCATGGGGTGATGAGATCATGGGGAGAATAGAGTGCCAAGGGCATTGGAGTCGAGACAGGCGACGAATGGAAACACAGAACTGATTTGCTAGAAGCAGGTATGATAAAAGTCGACAGGACCCAGGGGCGGGTTCAAGAGGACCAGTAACGCCTCGGCAGGCATCAGCGACCATCGTGAGCAGGCTGGACGTGCGTGCGGCGCACGATTATCCTCGGGTACCTCCTCTCAGTCTAGGAGGCATGAGCCAGCTCTCCGGCTATGTGAACCCCGCCAGCCCTTGGTCATAACCAACACCGGGCCTGCAGCCGGGCTTACCACGCCACACCCCATGACCCCGTGAAGTCCATCACGCATGCTCCTGCCGCGCACCACCCACCCCACCCACCTGCTGCACCCACCTGCTCCTAGAACCCTCCCCACCCGCCTGATCCCACAGCCTCCTTGCAGAGTGGCTACTCCTGGCAGGGGCAAAGAGGGTGCGGGAGAGGGGTGGGGAAAATGCGTGGGGGAAAGGGGTGGGGGAGAGGGGTGGGAGACTATGTGACGGAAGACGCGTCTAGCGTCTTAGACGGTTGCGTCTAGACGCAGCGTCTAAGACGCTAGACGCATTTTCGCCTAGGTTAGACGCAGATTAGACGGAAACCCGGGCAGGCCCTAAAAAAAAAGTTCGGGCAGCCTAAAAAAACTTCTCAGGACCATGGGGAGGGTGGGGTACATGCATATATAGCACATTTGGGTCAAATTTCCGCCGTACCAAAACTTTTTCCCCTTAATTAGAGTTCACAAAAATCATCATTTACCATCAATCATAATTAGGTACTGACGTCTTCCTAGTAGTAGCAAACATGATATAAATAGCTACTACTACATCCGTCCAATCACTAGGTCTCCTCCTCCTCCTCCTCCTCCTCCTCCTCCTCCTCCTCCTCCTCCTCCTCCTCCTCCTCCTCCTCCTCCTCCTCCTCCTCCTCCTCCTCCTCCTCCTCCTCCTCCTCCTCCTCCTCCTCCTCCTCCTCCTCCTCCTCCTCCTCCTCCTCCTCCTCCTCCTCCTCCTCCTCCTCCTCCTCCTCCTCCTCCTCCTCCTCCTCCTCCTCCTCCTCCTCCTCCTCCTCCTCCTCCTCCTCCTCCTCCTCCTCCTCCTCCTCCTCCTCCTCCTCCTCCTCCTCCTCCTCCTCCTCCTCCTCCTCCTCCTCCTCCTCCTCCTCCTCCTCCTCCTCCTCCTCCTCCTCCTCCTCCTCCTCCTCCTCCTCCTCCTCCTCCTCCTCCTCCTCCTCCTCCTCCTCCTCCTCCTCCTCCTCCTCCTCCTCCTCCTCCTCCTCCTCCTCCTCCTCCTCCTCCTCCTCCTCCTCCTCCTCCTCCTCCTCCTCCTCCTCCTCCTCCTCCTCCTCCTCCTCCTCCTCCTCCTCCTCCTCCTCCTCCTCCTCCTCCTCCTCCTCCTCCTCCTCCTCCTCCTCCTCCTCCTCCTCCTCCTCCTCCTCCTCCTCCTCCTCCTCCTCCTCCTCCTCCTCCTCCTCCTCCTCCTCCTCCTCCTCCTCCTCCTCCTCCTCCTCCTCCTCCTCCTCCTCCTCCTCCTCCTCCTCCTCCTCCTCCTCCTCCTCCTCCTCCTCCTCCTCCTCCTCCTCCTCCTCCTCCTCCTCCTCCTCCTCCTCCTCCTCCTCCTCCTCCTCCTCCTCCTCCTCCTCCTCCTCCTCCTCCTCCTCCTCCTCCTCCTCCTCCTCCTCCTCCTCCTCCTCCTCCTCCTCCTCCTCCTCCTCCTCCTCCTCCTCCTCCTCCTCCTCCTCCTCCTCCTCCTCCTCCTCCTCCTCCTCCTCCTCCTCCTCCTCCTCCTCATCCTCCTCCTCCTGCCCCTCCCACTCATCGACGCACACGGCGTCCTCGTCCGCGTCCACCTCCTCATCCTCCTCCAATTTGTACCCCTCGGGGAGGGGAGGGGGGGTGATGTTCCCCTCCAACACCACCCCCTTCCTTCCCACCACACTAGGCCCTGCGTCATCCGCACCCTTGTGGACATCGCGCACAACATTCCAGTTGTGCGCGATGTACACAAGGTCGCGGACCTTCTCCGACCCGAGGCGGTTCCTGCGCGCCGTATGCACGCCATCCCAAGTAGACCAGTTACGCTCACACGGGGAAGCGGAAACGGTCTGGGAAAGCGTGCGGCGTGCAAGACGCGACAGGTCAAGGTACTCCCATCCATTGTACTGCCACCATAGCATCACGTTCCCCTCCCCCAACTGAATCTTTTTACGCCCCTCGGTCGCGGTGTCCGAGCCGAATTTCCCATCGCCGTTGATGTAGGCCGTCACACCCTCGTGCAGCGGCCGCACCGGTCCCTTCTTGCCGCGCGCCTTCCCCCAGTATCTGTCTACGAAGAGCTGCTTGCGCTCCAACCAGTCCTGCATGACCTTGGTGCACTCCGGATCCTGTAGGAAAATCCCCTCCTCCTGGTTGGCCGAGTTCAAGATCCGGCCTGCCACGTGGAGGGGGCATGCCAGGCTCTCATCCCACCGCTTCCTCAAATGCTCCCTCACCTTCTCCTTATCCGCCCTGCTCAGCTTACACTCCCTCCCATCCAGCATCTTATCCACCTCCTCCGTCAGCTGCAGCATTATGTCGTAAAGCTGACCCATCATCCCCTTCGCCGCTGAGTCCGTCCTCCGCATCACGCTGTAGAACAACTCCATCAGCTGCACAAAGAAGTCCACCTTCTTCCACCACGCTGGGTCGCTCACCCACCCTTCAAAATCCGTTCCCGTCTGCGTGCTCCCCCCCTTCTCCGCCCAGTCCTTGTGCGCCACCATCGCCTGCAGCTGGGGGCGAATGGCGCGCAGACGAGACACAGCGATGTATTGCGTTCCAAAGCGCGTGCCTGCCGGCTTCAGGGCCTGCAGCGATTTCTTCTCGCCGTGCAGCTCCGGGAGCCGCAGAAATGCCCGTGTCCACTGGTGCGCGCGCACGAAGCTGATGATATCGTCGGCCTGAGTCACGACCAGCTGCGCCCAGCCCATCTTGCCGATGTCCTCCATCAGCAGGTCCATCACGTGAGTGGCGCAGGGAACTAGGTCGAGATGCGGCCACTCCTTCTGCAGCAGCTTGCCAGCACGCTTGTAGTTGCTGCCGCCGTCCGTGCACAGCGCAACGACGTGCTCTGCCCCGATGCGCTCGATGATCGGCCGCAGGACGCCAGCGATGAACTTGCCACTCTTCGTCGCAGCCTTGCAGTCAACTGCCTCAACGAAGACAGCTCCAGTGTCGTTGATGCAAATAACGTTCATCTGCGCCCGGCCGCTCACGTCCTGCATCATATCGCTGGCGATGGTAACGCCTGTCTCCCTCCACGACTTCGTCACGGGCGACAGCGCCTTCTCGATCCGCAGCTTGCAGTCTTGAAGGCCGGCGCCTCCGACGTAGTGCCGCTTGGGGGGGACATATCCCTGGCCGGCTGCGGCGACGGCGCGCAACATGTTGAGGAAGAGCGGGTGCTCGCACTGGCGCTCCGATGTGCGCGTCCCCGCGAGGTAGAGGACGATCGATTCGTCGGCCGCCTTCTTTGCCACGACGCCACCCTCGCCGTAGAAATCTTCCATGCGCCCGCGCTTGTTCCCCCTCCCTCCCGCCGCGCTCTTGCCGCTCACCGCAACGAGCGCCGCTTCCGTCGCCTTCGCTTTTTGGTTGCGCGCGCGAACCTTCGCTTCGAACATCTCGCGAATCTCCTTCGAAATCTCCTTCGGCACATGCTTGCAAACCACTCCCGCCTCGCGCCGCCGGTGGGGATCGTGCCACTCGGCGATGTGCTCGAGGCAACGGCTACTACTCCAAGCGAAAGTCTTGTTGCAATACTCGCACTCCACTTGGTCGCCCTTCTTCTTTGGATCATTAAAGTAGAAGTAATGCTTGTAGATCGGGTGGTCGGGCATCCTTTTCACCTTCGTGATTCCTTCCATTTCCTTAGAGACACGCGCGGAACAACCCTCCTTGGAACCATGCGCGGAACTACCCTCCTTGGAAACATGCGCGGAACTTGCCTTCCCCACGGCATCGTCATGCGAGGAGGAGGCGGAACTAGAAGAACTAGGAGAAGATATGGCTTCAAGAGGTAAGTAGCTCTAAACCCTAGAGGGTTTTTGAAAGAGAATTGGCTAGAAATGAAAGATGGGAAGCACAAATGGGGGATTTGTGCTTCCCAAGCCCTTGCTGGTTTGCCATTAAGGGTTGGGTTTCCTAGATGCTTTGCGGTTGAGAGGGGTTTGTGTTTTCATTTTTGGTTGAGGAAATTTCAATTTTGCTTGGGGGGCTTGAATCTAAGGTCGAAATGGGTGGGGGGGGGTGCAAATGACGCGAAATTGAATTTCGCATCAAAATCGCGAAATTCAATTTCGCCCGCGGTTTTTTTTTTTCGGGCTGCCCGAAAATTTTTCCCCCAAGCGTCTAGCGTCTAAACGCGCGTCTAGCGTCTAGCGTCTAGACGATGCGTCTAGACGCTAGACGCAAGACGCGTCTTGCGTCTTCCGTCACATAGGTGGGAGAGAGGGAGGCGGGAGTAGGAAGGAGGGGTCAGGGAGAGGCGTAAGGAAGGGGTGTGGGGGAGTGGGGACGTGCACTGCCCACCGGACCCCACTGCCTCCTCGGGGGCTGGCTCCTCCTGGCAGCAGCACGGGCCGGGTGGGCGGTAGAGGCGTGGGGGAGAAGGGGGGGTGGGATAAAGGAGAGGTGTGGTGGAGTGGTGTGGGAGAGAGGAGTGGGGGAGAGGCGTTGGAGAGAGGCGTGGGGGAGGGGGGTGGGGGAAAGGGGTGACAAAGAACAGAGGAGAGAACCCCTACGTCTTGCTTCTTGGACCTCACGTTCCTAAACCCTTGCCACCTTCTTCCCCCCATCCCCACTTAACCCTTCCATATTCCCTGTATTCCATCCCCTCTCCCCCTCTTGTTTACCCCCTGGCGCGACCACTCGCGCATGTCCTGCACCAGCACCCTCGATCCCTCCGTTTCCCTAACCCTCTCTTCCCCTCCTCCCCGGCCCCACACTGGTGACCCTTATCATCCCCACAATCATCCCATCTCCCATGGCTCACTCGTAGGCGCGGCCACTCGCACATGCCCTGCAGCAGCATGCGATCTGCTACTGCTGGCACACCATCCTCATACACCTGGGGGTTGGGTGGGGAGGGGGTGGGTTTGGGGAAGCGGGGAGAAGGGGGAGGGGGGAGGGGGGGACGACTACAAGTTTTAAGCAGAATGCGCAGCACCATGCGGTCTGCTGGCATACGGTCCTCACACACCTGGTGGGGAAGGAGAGGGCCGGAACGGGCACAGACGATATGTGAAAGAGGGGATGTTTCGAGATGTCTCCAGAACAAGCACCATGCGGTCTGTGGCACACAGTTGTCAACACAGGCTTGTTCATATTAAAAAAACAAGCACCAACCAACCCCCCCTACCCTCCCCCTCTTTCTCCCCTCTCCCCACCTTTCCCAGTCCTCCCCACAACTCTTCCCGCGCGCTTCTCCCCTCTTCCCGCATTCGTTTTCCATGCCCTCTCCCCCCCCACCCTCCCCTCTCCCAACCCTCTCGCTGCCCCCACATCTCCCATCCCCCGCGCCCACCTCCCCCCTCTTCCCCGGCGCACAGGAAGGCATCGGCCATCTCGTAGCGGCAGCACGCGCTTCCGTGAGGAGCAAAGGGGGAAGATGCACGAGAGTGGAGCAGGTAGGAGAGGAGAAGACAATCCTCCCACCAGCGCTGAAGGCGACAATGAGCAAGGCAATGGTGATCGCCACGCCATTTAACACAAGGCCAAGGCCGTCTGGTCTGGTCAGTGGCAAGGACGACGACATGGCTGCGCTGCGAGGACCCACTGCATGCGCTGCGCGTGACGTGAGCTCCATAGTTGGTTGGCTCTCCAGCAGGCAGCAGGTTTTCGTAGCCTGTGAGAGGTTGGCAGGTAGCATGAGGCACGAGGGAGGGAGTGGGGAGAAAAGAGGGGGGTAGGCAGGTGGATTGGAGGGGACAAAAAGGGGAAAGGGGGAGAAGAGGAGGGGGAGGAGGAAAGAAGGGAATTTTGATGTTTTTAGATGTCTCGGATGGGTACATCTAAGTGGAAAATTTAATATTTCACAAAAAAGCACCGAATGAGGATACGAAGCAAAAAATGGGAAAGAGCGGGGCGAACAGGCATGGGGAGAGGAGCAGGGAAGGAGAACACAATCCGCGGCAATTATGGCACCAGAATTCTCAAAAGCGGCAGGTTGACGGTTCTGTTGATCGTCATTTGACGCCTTTCGATTCGCTGCGACGCCTGAGATGCTCGCGACGCCGCCTCTCACAATACACGCGGCGCTACGAATTCTCTCGGCGCACACGGAGCAGCTAGCGACGCACGCCGTGGCCCTCGCTCGACTTGCCATTGACCCATGGGAGGCATTAGGGATGACGGTGAGCAGTGTTACTAGTGCTATTGCTCCAAATGAGTGAGAAAAAGTGACGCTCCTTTCGACACTATCCTTCGTGATTACGTCTGATCATTTACGAAAGAAGGGCAGAGGAAGCAATGATTAAGGCCATTGGAGGCCCATTCTGACAACTTTACCTTATCTCTAGACCACTTGACAGTACTAAATCGCGATAACGTAGGTCGCGGGGCGAGCGGCTGGATCGCGGTCTGTGCAGTAGTTCGCTAAGAAGAACCAATCCACCTCGTCTGCGACTATCCCTCGAAATTACGTTACAGAGAAGTTACGAAAGAAGGGCAGAGGAAGGAATCTTGGCCATAGGAAGCCCAATCTGTCGGGGAGAGCAAGAAGGTTGGCAGGAGGCTGAGGGAGGGAGGGCGGGAGAAAACCGTATGTTCCTGATGTCAATTCTGCGCACTCGTGCTTCTTCGACGGCGGCGGCGTCGCACAGGGGGGATTGTGCGATGGTGAGGAGAGGAAGGAGGATGGGGCGGAGGTGCGAGTCTCCTTCCCAAACCGGATCATAGACCACGTTACTGTAAACTCTACCTTATTGCGAGACCATTTGACGATTCCAGATCGTGATAAGGTCACGGACCGAGCGGCAAGACCGCGAATTGAGCAGCTATAGTTCGCTATGTGGCCAAGTCGCCAGGTCGCTGGTCGGTAGTGTCATAACACGTAAGCCTTTTCAAAACAGCATCAGCTCTTATGTATTGCTCTTTTCGTCATTAGGGTTTCGTCTAGTTCCTTTGTTGCGATTGCGAATGAGGAAGGTCGGTATTGGTCAAACAGGGTCAGCCGCTGTCTTGATGCGTCTGACTCGCAGGCCAGGCGGGATTTTTGTAATCTCGATATGGCACTGCTGGCATGCCACGCCACCATCGAAACTCGTGTCACATTGGAATTCGCGAGAGATGGGTAACTTGACGATACGTGGCATTTGTCCAGATCCACACTTCACCGCTGAATGGGAGGTCGCACGCAACTCGCGAACTCGACGTGGCATCGTCAGCGATTTTGGCCGCAGTGTGGGTCCAGCGGGTACAGTAGATCGAGTTTCCTCACGGTGCAGAACGGTAACAAACGTGCACCGTTTTGTACCGTTTCTTATCACCTTCCGCCACGGATGATGAACTGCAACAAACTGTAAACGAACGCGCTGGTCACGCCCTAAAGCAATTTTGGCAAGGAACTGGGCCTTCATTTGTCTCCCTCCATATTCCCTACCTCCTCCCTGCTGTCTTCTAAGTCTCATTTCCTAAGCTACAATCATAGTAGCTACTGCTAGGACTTCTCAAGTTTGACGTAGTTACTTGGTTCAACCGTCTACAAATAATATCGCGTTTCTATTGACGCTTAGAACCACTGCTTCTAGTTGCGCACAGACATCACGATGGCAACGGAGGGCGTGGAACGCATTATTATGCTCAGCTTACTCATATTTCTGACGAGTGTCGCCGTGATTTCTCCAGTCCGCTGTGTCCCGTTCGCCCCCTCCCAAGGTTCGTCGTAGTAGAAAGGAACTTGGCGTTCAGTTGACCGCCCACTGCTCTCGACACTGTAACAAGTCGGGATTCACCATGCGGGATGCATGGGCATCTCCGAATGGGAGAAACCTAGCTAGCTACGAACTGCACCACTTGCTAGTCTAAGAAAGTACTCCCGTATCCCAGTCAGGAAGAATAGTACAGCAAGGCATGGCATCGAGGCGCTATGCCAAGATGCCATGCTAGATGAAGTGGCGACGCGGGCTTCCCAAGTCGCTATTCCTAGTTCCTAGCATAAATATAGTTCTCTGAATCTTGTTGTATCATCCTGATCCTTGGATCTACTTTCTATTCTACTTCTTGAATCTCTTCTCACCACTCTAATCTACTTCCTGCAGCTAGGCTTCTCTCTCCTTGCCTAGTTTTCAATATTCCGCTGCGTGACGACTCTTCTCTCTTCTTAGCTACGGCGCTCTCTCTCCTTACTAGCGCCAGCCCTGTTTCAGACACCCACCCTCTCCTCCGATCTTCCTGAATTTGTTGACCTCATAAATGTCTAATGGAGTCTTGGTGACGGTAGTAGGATGCTGTCCAGAAAGGGCTCTCAACGGCACAATGGCTCACGATGACGCGGACGCATTCTGCTCCGTTCTGTGCCATGCCAACGCGCCTCGTCACAGTTTCCCGAGTCCTGTATCTTCCGCTACCAAAGTTCGTCTTTTCAAGCTCATGCCGCTCCTGATACCAAAACTTGATGCGGTGTTGAGTTCAGCAGTGGCACCAATCGTGCCACGGCGGCGGATCAGAGGGCAGTTTTAAGCGACGGGAAGCCAGGGTAGATATTGTTTCCCCCCAAAAAACTCTCAATAAATAGTAGCATCATGCTTACATCGTTCTCACACTAACACTACCGCCGAGGTACCAGGGTCGCCCGTAGTAGATGGTGTAGGGAACGATGAGCCATGGCGGTAGGCCTAACCTTGAAACGCCTTACTTAAGAGAGCGCTCTCATCGTGAAATTTGGGAGGTCCCGCACACAATTTGGAAACCACTCGCTGGCGAGTCGTTTTCAATTCCACGCAATTGCCTGGTTTTGACGATTGGTTTGCTATCCTAGTGGCATCTAGCTACAGATTGGTATTCAAGTGGGCGAACGACTGCCTGCCAAATCTGTACAGATGAACACCCCGAGGACACTTGGCTGGAAAACATTGGGCGCAAACAAATTTTGATTGGTTGCGCACTTTCATTCTGTTGTGTTGTAGAGGCTTCTCCTCTAGTTAGTAGGAACTTAGAGCTGTACCAAACAGTTGAGCACTCTCTTGGCTTTCCAACGAGCCATCAAACACGCGATTCGCCTAAGTAACGAGAGAGTTATATGCGTTTATGTGCTTGCTAGTACTCTTAGAACAAAGGATAGGAGGTCTTTGGATTTTGTAGTCGAATGTATCACATACAAAATGATCCTTGATTTGAGTATGATTCCATACAATATAAAGGAAACAAATTTATATGAACCGCAAACATCGAGTTGCACTCGTAACCTCGAATGGTTACACTCGCGAATGTTCGAGTAACATTTCGAAGGGGTGAAATTCGACACCCGAATTTCACCGAACCGAGTTCTTCTTCAGTCTCGATTGTCTTTGTGTTGCCATGTGTCACCAATTGAATGGGTCTTCTGAAGTCAACCCACACACTTCAGGAAACCTGCAGCTTCACGCAACTCATGAGCACTGAAACATATTCAGTGGGTTGGAGGCATACAACCGCCCCACCACCGCTTGCTTCCAACACACGCGACCTCTAACACTCCCCCTTGCACCCAACCCACTAGGTCTGCAATCCATCATGCTCGTAGCATGCACGGGATGGATCTTTAGGGAGTGGTTCCATGAAAAAGATCCGCGTGCTCATCATCACCCTTGGTTGCGAAACAAAATGCCGCCTTCCCATTATCCAACTGCCCAACTGCTACAGTAGCATAGTCGGCGTATTTGGGGTGGGGCGAACCACACGATGCTCGCGGGTCAAGGCCAATGGTGGGGAAGAAGGCGTGGAGGTAGTTACCGCCGTGGTTGGTGGCAACTCTACGACAACATCAACGTTCTCCTCGTTGTCCTCTCCCCCTCCGTTTTCGGTCCTCTTTTCCACTCGAGGTGGAACCCCACTCTTTTCAACCTCCTCTCGTGCCGGAAGGATGAAGGTGAGTTGTTGAGTTGGTTTCACCGTCGACGGGAACTTGTCTTCATTTGATACCACGTCCCGAGACGTGATAACGTGCTTGTCGTCCAAGTCCCACAGTTGCCATGCATTCTCGTTTGACGCATTCCCAAGAAGATCGCCGCACGAGCCTTCGGTTGCAACTTGTGGCGAAGGAGATCCGGTACATGGTAGTAGCAAAGGAATCTGAAGGTATGTAGGAGGGATATGTTTGGCTTCGTTTTGGTCCATGCTTCGAACAGAGTCGTTACCGGGAGCACCTGAGTTGGCAAACGGTTGTGAATCCACGCCGCTAGCGCACTCGCCTCTCCCCACCACTCGCTCCCAAGCTTGGAGTGTTGAAGAAGTGAACGAACGACCTCCACTAATGTGCGACTAAGCCGCTCCGCGCTCCATTTTGTTGGGGTGTGTAGGGTGTCGTAACGTCGTGCTTAATGCCATTGCTCTTCATCCATTTACCAAGCTCGTTGTTCACGAATTCGCCGCCACCGTCGATGCGAATGGCCTTGACCCGCTTCTTGTCGTCGTCGCAAACTTCGAGCGCACACCCTTGGATTGCCTTGGCCGCATCGCCCTTAGCCTTCAAGAGTTGGGTCCAACACATCACCAAGAGAAACCGCGCTCCTCCCTTTGACGTGCACCGCATCGGTCCACACACGTCCATGTGAACAAGCGCGACCGGCTCCTTACCGAGGGGTGACGTACGGCTACCAAATGGCTTGCGAGCCATTTTTCCTTCGACATACGCCGCACACACGCCCTTATCGTCGTCGCCGGTGATCACGTCGACTCCATTCGCAAGTCCTTTGTTGGGCAACTCCTTGACCAACTCGTACTTGGCGTGCGCAAGCCGATTATGCCACACCTTAAGAGTCGCCTCAAAGACTTGCGCCACATTGAATGAAACCGTTGAATGAAGCCGGCGAATTTTGAGTTGGTAGAGTTCTCCGTTGAGATCGTCTTGTGCGAATTGCTCCTCTTTCCAAAAGAGGTTCATCTTCGCATTGTCCATGGTAAAGGTCATTCCGTTCTTCGCAAGTTGCGAAATGGAGAGGAGATTCACCTTCAACTCCGGAACGTGATGTCCACCGTTCCGCTATCCACGATGAGGCGCATACTTGTCGTTTCAAAAAACGATGATGTGTGCGGATTGCCCTCTTGGTTTCGCGCCATCGATGGAGTCCAATCGCCCGGGCATTTTCGACACTCTCGCAAAAAGTGTCCCGATTTGTCCCAATAGTGGCACTTGCTCGCGTCGATGAATGCGTTTCCATTTCCGCGGTCGCTACCATCGGGCGACTTCTTCATCGCACCCTTGCTCCACTTGGACTTTCCTCCGGAACTCCCTCTGCAGAACAAGGCGGTCCCCGCTCTCATTAGCGAATTGTCGGTGTCGCGATTCCTCATGGAGAAGCCGACCGACCACAATTTCATTCGTCCAAGTGTCTTGCACGCTATCGATTGTCGTAATGAACGTCGAACACTCGCCCGGACTCGGAATGCCGCAAAACAAGGTCAAAATCCAATCCTCCTCCGTGACCGTTCCACTAAAGTTCATGAACGTTTTCCCAACTTAGTCCACAGGAGTCGCATACTCGTGCATTGATTCGCCCTCGCGCCACTTCACCATGAAGAACGCATTCCGGGCTATTTTCTTGCCGTGGAGAATCTTGTTCACGTCGATCGTCTCAAGCCGCTTCCACGCTTCATACGCCGATGCTTCGAGCTTGATGCACATGCGCACCGAGGTTGATGCCGATGCGCGAAATCAACGTAGCGAACGCCTTTTAGTATTTTTTTTTTTTTTTTTCCCATGCCGCAATCTCGTTCGCGTTGTCAGGCTTTTCTCCGTTCCACTGAAAAAACCCAAAGTCCACGCTCCATCATGAGCAATTTGAACTTAAATTTCTACGCGGAGTAACGTTGTTTCGTAAAAATCGGAACCACCGACATGTCGAACACCGTCGTGGTAGTCTAGGGTTCGCCGGGATTCGAGACGACATTATCCAAGGAAGTGCGAGAGGCCTCGCTTGAAGTCGGCATGCTTGCTTCTCGTCGAGCGCGTAGATTCTACCGCCAGCTCTGATACCACAGTTGTAGAGGCTTCTACTCTGGTTGGCAGGAACTTAGAGTTATACCAATTAGTGGAGCACACTGTTGGCTTTCCAACGAGCCGTCAAACACGCGATTCGCCTAAGTAACGAGAGAGTTATAATGTCTATGTGCTTGCTATTGCTCTTATGACAAATTATAGGAGGTCTTTGGATTTTGTAGTCGAATATATCACATACAAAATGATTCTTGATTTCAGTATGATTCCATGCAATACAAAGCAAACAAATTTATATACACTGCAAACATCGAGTCGCACACGTAACCTCGAATCGCTACTCTCGCGAATGTTCGAGTAACTTTTCGAAGGGGTGAAATTCGGCACCCAAATTCGAATGCTTCTTCAGTCTCGATTGTTCTTCTATTGCCATTTGTCACCAATTAAGTGGGTCTTCCGAAGTCAACCCGCACACTTCTGGAAACCTGCAGCTTCACGCAACTCATGACCACTGAAACACATTCGGTGGGTTGGGGGCATGCAACCGCCCAACCACCGCTTGCTTCTAACACACGCGACCTCCAACATGTTGAATGTCGCGACACCGTCACAAACATAGATACATACACCTAAAACTTGGCAAGGCTATTCAACAACCCTGTTGTAACTATTATGTGATCGAAGCAAGATTTGATAATGATATTTGTACACTAACGTTATTCTTTAGAAGAACATTTGCATTTAAAAGAACGTAATCCGTAATAACATGGCTTCAGTAAAGAAACCCATGATAAAATGATCGAAACCGTAAATATTCAGCTGCTAATTTGATAAGAAGATTCCAGCAACACAAATAGTTGTTGAATGATAGTTACTTGTAAAAAACAATGCATTAAATGTGCGTGTTCCGGTTGGGTAATGTAGTTGTAGTGCGGTGTGGTGGTAAGGGATGGAGGGGTTGGATTTTGTTGGAGGGCTTTTTTGGGTTGTGTGGTGTCGAGTTCAAATCTGGAGTCATGTTTTCGGCGCGTATTTCCGAGGAAAAAGTTTCAGGCACGGTCCTGCGTCAAAACGTACGTCCAGCGTCCAGTGTCAAAACGTAGCATTTTGACGCTGGACGCTGGGCTTTGCTAGCGTCTAATCCAAGTAAGCTTATCGTTGTCGCAGTTTCAATATCCGAGTCATGGTTTTTGGGTACTTCATCATTGCATGTGTCCATTCTGCAGCCGTGCAGCACAGGCTTATGAGTGAGAGTGGAAGAGAAGGGTGCGACACACAGGTGATGAGAGCCGATTTATCTTTCCTCAGTTCCCTGCCCCATCCCCTCCTTCTATCCTTATCTCGCCCTTCGTCCCCCCTCTCCCCCACCATTTGCCGCCAGTGCGAGTCCTGCAGGACTTGCAGCAAGCGTGGGGGCAGAATATCACTGGGTGGGTGTCTGGGGGGGACTGCAGCTTGGCCTACGGTGTGAACTGCAATGCCCAAGGCATGGTGATCGATATGTGAGAGCACCAACTCTAGCTGGTCTTGCATCCGCCATTTGAGCACCAACTCTTGCTGGCCTTGACTTAGGTGCCTCTCTGTTCTCTCTCGTTCCACCATTCTGCGTGCTCAGTATTTGCAATCCCTTGTAGCATATCAGCAAGTTAAACCTTGCTAACCATGCATTCCCTAGATGCCTTTGCGTGCTTCTTTGTTATGCACTTGCACTCCTGTGCTGCTTGAAACATTAATCCCACTTTAACCCTTTCATCAAATCCCTTTGTCTGCTTTGGTGAACCCTTTGGATTTGTTCCTACTGGATTTGAAGTTATGTTAAGGTTAACTTGCATGTTCGAACAAGATTAAGAACATCTTCCATGGGGAGTGTGGAATGACCACCCATCTGATGTTCTATTATTGCTATGCTTTATATAATTAGAGATGGGTTTCCATATAGGGAGAGAGAGAGAGAGAACAGTCATAGCTCTAGTAGTTTTATCGTGCCCAAGTCAAAGAACTAGACTGCATGTCGAGGGGCATGGCAACAGTTGTAACTGCAGCATGTTTGTGCACAAAAGGAGTTCTGCTGGAGTTTGTAAAGGGAGAAGTACAAAAAATGGTTGCGTGGAAGGATGAAGGCGGTGGTGGTGTATGCGCTGAAAAAGTTTGCATTGAGTGTGCTGGGGAACTGCTAGAGGGCTTGCTATATACATGGAGTTCTCATGCGAGACAATAGATTGGGGGCGAGATATGTACTGTTGGCGCCATTTATGAAAAGCAAATGCTTACCTTCCAAATATCACCGCAGAACAAAAACGCCCATTTGAAAACGTAGAAAGGGAAGGTAGACATTTGTAAGCAGTACTAGGTGTTAATTCTGTTTAACGCACTTATCATCCCCCTTCCCTTGTCCGTTTGCCTCTGTTTTCCTTTGCCACTGTTTTGCGTGGAACCTAGCAAAACAGTACCCGAATTCACCTCTCAGGTTTCTATCATCTCCATGCGTATAGGCACAGGTGGACAACACATAGGGTGCACGGGCCTCTCCTTCTCACATAATATCAAAACCACCTTGATGGATTGGAGCAATCTCTCCTTTTCGTTCACTCTTGATCCCGTTTCCTCAGAAGATTGCTTATGTTCCCCACCCATTCCATTCCACTACCCATCAGCTATCAAAATTATCAAGGCTTAACCGGGTACATTCCAGATTACATCAGTGCCTTGGACAGGCTGACATTTCTGTGAGTATAAGTGGGAGCATGCACACATGACCGTGAGCGTAGAGGCATGCATGTGCATAGGTAAGCATGAGCAATGCATGAGCAATGGCCAACATGTGGCCAACTCATGATGAGCTGAGGGTGTCCATCACCTTACAATGGCCAGCCAGTGGCCGGCTTGCCATGAGTGAAGGATGGCCCTGCCAGGCTCATGGTGAACCTGCCAGAATTTTCATTTAGAATCCCCATTGCTTGAAAAACGGTTAGGAACAAGAACAGTTTCCAGGTCATCCTCACAAACTGGCCAAACCTTCACTCATGTCCAACTTAAACACAAAAAGAATGAGTTTGACAACCAGCGACCTAGCCATGATGCCGACTTGCCTGTGTGGCTTGCCTGTTGCCGCCTTGTCAAGAGCTGAATGTCATGCAAAGGAGTTTTTGCATGCACCAGTGAGGGTGAGCTTATTTTGTGCCTTTGAGAGTAACTATGACAGACGAGAGTGTGCATATATGAATGGATTGTGAACCTGCTATATATATTTCATGGGTTACCGAGACACCTAGAATTGCTGTTCTGTCAATGCAACAAGCGATTCTCACCATCATAGGTTGTGAAATGCAAATTTACCTGCATGGAGCGGTCCAGCTTAATTCGGCCAGGTCTGGGCACGGGTCGGTTTGTCAAGGGTCGGCTGGTAACACGACCATAGATTAGCATTCTGGTGTGCCGTCGGATCTTGCGGATCTTGCACCACCATCATTAAAGCAGATGGCGGGCAGGATGTTACGAGTCAAGGTTAAATTGAATCGCGGCAACTGAGACTGAACTAGTTGGGTGAGTAGAGAAGCATGTAAAGAACAGAATAACCAACCAACCATAGCCCCAAAGCCCTATTGATACCACTCTTGGCTAGAGCTACGCTATGGAAAACTTGGAGCTACAAGTCTGGTACAAGTCGAGCGGGTTTGACTCAAACCTCCACTGGTTCTTTTCGATCCATTCGGCTTGGTTCCAGCCCATGTCGAACCTCAATTGACCGGTTTGGTTTGTGACAAGCCAGAAGAGGTTTTACGAGGAAACCTGGACAGTCAGGCCATTGGGAGGAAGGGATGTCATGGTTCGTGGATCTGAAATTTCATGCAAAATGCACTGCATATGACCCACCTGCTCAAGCCTAGCTGCACCTGAGTTTGGCGGGGAGGAAAAGGCAAATAGTCTGATGTCACAACAGCTGGAAATAGAATAATGAGCTCCAACTGTGTCAAACCAGTGGTCATATGTGTCCCACAGGTCCTGGGTAAGTGTAACATGGTTCCTTGTCAGGCACAAACAGGATTCTTCATAACATGGGAACCAGCCTGGTTCATCGAGCATCTATTTGGCCAGTGCAGGCCAGCCTAGTTCGACATGGCCGGCTGGTAAAAGGATAACTTTATCGAGCCATCAAGCCGGGGCTCGGCTCGTCTGGCCAGCTCGATAACTTGGGGCCAGCCAGCAGAGCAGGATCGCTGGCTCGGCTTGACTCGGACGTGTAATTGTCATTGACGTCAACATTGAGCTCCCAGTTTAAAAGATTACAGGATCATATGTGTTGGGCCTGCTTGGGTGTTATGTGCCCTTGTCCGGCAGCAATGTGGTTTGTTACGAGCCATAGGTTTAAAATAGTCCGGTTTGCGAGACATTTATCGGTTCAAGCAGTGGGTTACAAGTAGGCCTGAGCATCCAGGCGAACATGGTTTAGGCTTGAGCAAGGTGGCGAACACTTGTTCGGTTCGCCTCGAACACGTTCGAGGCGAACCGAACAGGTTTTGTTTTTCAGCTTAAATCGTTCGCCCAAACGTGTTCGAGGTTCGCCCGAACACGTTCGTGTTCGTGGCGCTGCTGCAAAATGCCCCGTGTCGAACACGAACGCGTTCGAGGTTCGCCCGAACATGCCTCCACAGGTGAACAACGAACACCTGTTTTTGGCTAAACTGTTTGCTGAACCGAACAGTGTTCAGTTCGGCAAAAGGACGTGTTCGAGAAGGGGCGAACACGAACATGTTCGTGTTTGCCCTTTGCTCATCGCTAACATGGTTCGCTCGAAAGCTCCCGCGACCCTTTTTTGGTCAACCGCTTCACTTTGTCGACCAAATTTTTGAGTTCGATTTCGACCTAGACTCAGCCCTAAGCTTTTATGAAAGTCTAACTATTTGGGAAGGCACAACCTTTTTCTTCCATCATAATGTGATTAAATTCTGGCGCCATCATCATTTACTGTTTGCTATTACTTCCATACAATCTCGAACGCCCACCAAGTCTAACCCCGCCACCAAGAATGCAGATGTCCACTAAACTGGTTGATGTGATTATAACAAATGCTGCTGAAATTGCGAGCATGAAAATGATTGCTTGGGATGAACAGCCTTTGTGTTCGCCTCCAAAGGCGAACATGCGAACACATTTTTTTCATTATGTGTCTGCGGCGAACCGAAACATGTTTGGTTAGCCCAAGTGGCATGTTTGACACAAGGGCGAGCACAAAAATGTTCGTGTTTGCCTTTTGCTTCAGCATAGATACAAGTGCGGGCTGGCCGGTGAAAATTCAGGGCACCGTTTTACCCAACATGCCTTTGGTCATGTGTGCTATAAGGAATTGCATTGCAAGCATACGCAACCCATACTTTGAGTCAATGTGCTTTTAGACTGGTCGTCGCCGCTCGGCCCCAAGTCAACAAAGGTCTTCCTCGTCCCCATCAGGTGGTGCAAGCAGCCGTTGTCGATGTGGAACACCGCCGGTTTCGCCTGCACGGCTGGCGCCAGCAAGACGGTCGGCTCCACGACGCCGACCAGCGAGCACGACGCCTCCCCGTCGCCTCGCCCCTTGCCGCCAGAGGAGGAGTCGGCGTCCTTCGCCATCGTTGTCGACTTGGTCGACTGCTTCTCCTTGCGCGGCTTGCTCTCCCGACGTTGGCGACGACCAGCCGACCTCCCGCAGCTTCCCTTGGTGTCGTCGTCGTCGGAATCCTCGCGGTCGGGGTACTCGAAGGAAAGCTGGTCGGGGTCTCGTACAGCCAGCATTCCCGCCGTCGACCTCCTCCTCCACGATCGCCAACCTTGGTCGACTTTCCACCTCCGCTACCACCGCCGCCAGGCTTGCCGCGCTGCTTTGACCAACTACCATGCTTCGTCGGGGCGACGTAGTTCACCTGCGGCAGAAGCTCCGTGGACTTCTCGGTCTCCTGCATCGCCTCATCCATGATGATGTGCGAGGCCAGGGAGACCTCGTTGAGCAACTCCTGCATGCCCGGCATCACCATAAGTCGGCACATCAGATTGTAGCCGCTCGGGAGCCCCTTGATGACGTGCGTGATGTACGATCCCTCGAGCAGTCGACGCCGGCCATCCGCATGTTGGCGAGAAGCTGCCGAGCTCTATTGCAGTGATCGCCCGCGATCTCCTGCTCTCCCATCCTCAGGTGCGTCAGCTCTTCCTCCGGGTGACCGATGTAGGTGGCCTGGAAAGTCGACGTGATGAACTGTCACGCCTTGTGGCTGGCGTCTAGATGACCATGAAGGTCAGTAGGTGAACGGCGCGAAACTCCGCACGCAGCTCGGCGTTGGACTCTGGCGGCGTCTCGACGCTGCTGTCGGCGAAGCACATCAGGCCGGCCATCTCCAGCCGGGGCTCGATGGCCTCCTTCCAAGTGAGGAAGTTATATCGACCTACCAGCGGTACGGGGACGGCGATCTTGTCCGGCATGAATTTGAAGTAGTCGTAAGTCGGCGCTATCCCGCCCGCCGTCACGCGGGTCGCCGAAGTCGGCGTCACACTGCTCCGACGTCCACCAACGTTGCCTTGTGAGGAGCCCGTAACCGCTGGCGACTACAGCCCTTGCGCCTTTTTCCCACCGACTTCACCGAATTCGGCTTTCGTGATCACTCCGATATTCCTTGTGCCCTCGCTGCTTCCGACTTGAGCACCGCCGTCGACCTCCTTGTCGATGCCGTCTTCGTTGTGCATCGATCGAGGAGAAGCAGGTCGGAAAGGAAGTTCCGTCGTCCATTGCGCCCGGATGCCCAACTCAACGACCTCCAAAGAGAGGGTCGTCCCGTACTCGCCAGTCTCATGGCGTCTACTCGCATCAGCTAGTCGTGCCTCCCGACTATCTTCTTTCGCGCCGGGTCCTACCAAGATGGGCGTCATAGTCGCACGAGCTGTCGGCCTACGAACGACTTAGTAGGTGCAAAATTCGGCTCCTATCTGAAGGTAATTTGCTCCGTCCACGCTCACTACACCATGCGGAGATAGTCTCCACAATGGGAACTAGACTACGGGAGAAGGCATTGTTGTGGGAGTGATAGCATTGTTCCTTAGTGTTTTCTTGTGTTCTCTCTACGCACACATACATGGGGAGAAAAATAGCAAGAGTTTCACTAGCAAAAGTTGAGAACAATGATAACAACAACATTGGCAAAGTTGACTACATTAGGTGTAAGGACTGCCTAGCATGGAAGCAGGTCGGCTTCCAGTGCAGCATGGTCGACTGAGTTCGGGCGCTACAAAGTCCGTACCTCTCCAGCGCTGCAGAGAGGCGGCTCGCCAACGCTACTAGTCGACGGCGTGCCAACGCTGCAGCAAGGCGGCTGTCTAGCGTTGCACTCGCATGACAGCAACGCACCTACTTGGCAGGTGCTCGCAGTTGGTTGGCGTGCTGCGCACCGTCACGTACACAGCGCAGACGCCAAGTCGACACACGTCAGTGACTGCGCCTGATCAGCCACGTTGACCTCGAAATACCACCTCTGAGGTCGGCTTCGCCAAAACCACATGAGCGATGTTTGCGCACCTCAGTAGAACTCTGTCGCCCTTACTTGGTCGTCCGGGACACCACCAAGTCGGCGTCGACTTGCGCGGTAAAAGTCGACAATAGTTGTACATGCTCGTCGACCACCCCAGTCGGCGACCACCAGCCGATTTTGCCAAGTCGGCCACTCCCAAGTCGACCAACTAAGTCTACCAGACAAGTAGTTAGCTGACTGCACCAAGTCAGCTTCCTTAGGTCGGCGTCACCAAGTCGACGCCCTCCCAGGCCGACTTCGCTAAGTCGGCCTCCCAAAGTCGGCGCCCTCAAGTCGGCGCCTCTACCAGGTCAACGGGTTGGGCTGTCGACCACCAATCCTGTCCGGCTTCGTCGAAGTCGGCTCAGCTGTAGCCGACTTCCTCCAAGTCGGCTAACTGTCGAAGTCGGCCAACCACGCCGACTTTATCCCCAAGTCGGCTAACCAAGCCGACTTCGCTGAACATGAAGTCGGCTACCCGCAGGTCGACGAGACCCTCGTCAACCATACCAGTAAAGGTTGGCCGCCAGCTTCCCATCGTCAGCGGCTTCGCAGTGGCCCCGTGCAGGTCGACCAAGTTCGTCGACCTGCTTGCCTAAGTCGGCGTCGCCCACTTCAGACTGTCAGCTGCACCGCCCGCGTACCCGACCACGAAGTCGGCTCCGCCCAAGCGAGGACAGGGCCAACTCCCAACTTCCGTTGACATAACCCCCATAATAGGTTGCGAGGGTACGGTTCAGTGTACCCAAGACCTACGGGGGCCAGTACATTGATCTAGCCCCTCCTGAATCGGTGGTCCTGCCCCTCCCGAATCGGTGGCCCTATGAGGGCTGGATCTTGCAGTGGCAGCCACTGGTGTCCGTCCTGATTGCAAACCTATGCCTTGCGTGCTGCCAGACACACCTTTTCTTTGCGCTGTGATGACAGCTGAGCAAATGAGGACTCCCGCTGAGACGGAAAGGTTTGCAACCTCCGCTAACCAGGTACACTTTGGCCAACATGGTTGAGCCACTGTGCACTTTGGAACTCATGACCGGGTAGGGAGAAAAATACTTGACTAGGAAATTCGAGGTCACGACAAAGTTAGGGTTAACCAGATGTTGAGGAAAATATGTCAATTCGGCCCTAATATATCAGTTCCTACTTGTCTACAACTTTGTCGGTAGTGACACCTTCAAAAAGTATATTTTTTAATGAGATATGAAGTACAGACATTACTCAAATAATCCTTTTAGCAACAAGTTAACAATGTCTTCAAGTTAGCATTGAGCAATCCCAGCACAGCGTTTTGAGCACATTTGTATTTGCTTATCTTGTGGCACATTCAAAAGTAGGTGTAACATGTTCCACTTCCATGAATCCTCATAAGAGTGGATGTGTGAGCTATCATGAATACTTGTTCGACTCTCATGGCTTTTTCAAACTCCTCCACTTCTCTCACATCCCAACTACTTTATCCCTCTCTTTTTTTGGATGGAACCCGTTGCATGTATGTACCAACAGGGAACTTGCGGGCAACAATTTAACTGGGTCTATTCCATCTATCATCGGCAATATGATTGGTCTTGAACGGATGTCAGTATCAAGAGGATTTTATTGAGGCTTCACCTTTGGCTTGGATGGCTCTGATGCATTCATTCAATTACCCCTTCAAGCTTGTTTTAAATTATATTTTGGCATGAGCAATGGTAGCCAGGCAGTCCACCAGCACCATCGAGGACCATCAGAGCGGTAACGGGTCGAGTCCACAACAAGACTATGGGAGGTCCATCACATGTGACAGGCAGGGGATTTTTACTAATGTGTGCAAATTTGGGATCTCCCAACCAAATCCGTGTCAATAAGCACTTTGCGAGCAAAATTTGTGTGGACATGAATATGCCCGTCTTGGGCTGTGGCATTGCAGACACGGTACATGACCTCGTTGCAGCACTAGCCATGGTTTGATGCCTGAATTGCTACTCAATTGGTAAGAAGGTCGGCCTTGGTCTGGCCCTAGTCTCCTTTCTAATACCCCTTGCTGGCCCTTGCTTGACCCTGTGCTCATGTCTCATTCTTGCACAATCATGGTCAGAATGCGGTTTCTCAAACCGTACTTGAGCTAACCTTGGTAGGAAGCCAACGCAAACCGTATCCGTTTTCAAAATTAGTGAGAGAATGAGCTGATAACCATCTGTTTGAGTTGGGCCACGCCTGTTCTGCCACTATTCTAAAAAACCTCATGACGAAGGGTTCAATGTTTTTGCAACCAGCCTTTTCCACCATCAGAAATGTCCTCAGAGAGGCGTGAATGACTCCTTAAGATTGAAGAGTAGGCACGAGCATAGGTCTGAGACAGTCGTGTTTCAAAGCTGCAATGAGCTGGTGGGTTGACGAGCCGGGCAGGCAACTCACCCGGCTCGTGGCTTGTCCACCGAACCTGAGACGAGCAGGTATGGCTTTACCACCGTCTGCTAGACCCCACACATTTGTAGTATTTTGCTGCTTCAGGTGGATCTTGCGTTTTAGCTTTGGATTTGCATTTTGAGTTTCTCCTCTGAGTAGGAACAAGGTAGTGCAGTGAAGGCAATCTGCTTTCGGATTAGAAAAGAGAGTGTCACCGACAACCACTTATAAATTTTGGTTTTAGGGTTGCCGGCGCAAGTTCAATGAGCCATCAAGCTGGGTCTTGGCTCGTTGAGATCCACTTGGTTCCAACGAGTTGATACTCGGTTTGCAGGCTTGTCTTGATTCGATTGTCAACTTGGACCCGTGGTTTAATAAAAGGTGGAAATAAAAGAATGAGCTCCAACGATGTCAATCCAAGAGTCATACATGTCCCAAGGGACTTAAGAGTCATGATTCTCTGCCAGACAACAACATGATTTTTCATGATATAGGAACCAGCCCAAATTATCAAGCATATTCTTGCCCAGTTCGGTCCAGCCAGGTTCGACCAGCTTGTGGCCGGCTGGTGAAAGTATAAGTTTAGCGAGCCGACAAGCCGGGTTTCGGCTCGTCTGGCCAGCTCAATAACTCGGGGTCAGCCGACATAGCTGGATTGCTGCTCTGCTTAACTCGATTGTTGGCTCGGACCTATACTTGTAAATGGGATTAAATTTGGTCTCAGTTTGATAAATTGCGGGATCATTATGCTGGGCATGCTAGGGTGTCATTTGCCCTTATCCGACAGCGGTGGGTTTTGTCACGGGCCACAAGATTGAAGCTCCCTAGTATAGTATCTCATGCTTAAACCTGCTCAATGCGGACCTAAGTTGGAATATACGCTCAAGATTGGTTGTATTTTAAGTCTATACTCTCCAAAAACGTGACGCTGCGTTTTTGGTGGAGAAACACGAAACAAAGCTCGAGAAGCACAAAAAGATACAGAAAAACCCCAAAAGTTGTTTTCGGTTTCGCGACACCGCAAAATCAATTTTCGTGCTCGACAAATTCAAAATTTGGTCTTTGCAAATTGTGATCTAAACTTCGATTTTTACTTCGAAGCTGTTGCACAACAACTCACTCAACCCCATTCAGCCCCAATCTTTTTCAACCCAATGTCGAGTGGAGGAATTGGCTTCTCTCGTTTTGAGCGATGACCTCCTTTTGAGTGACGACCTCGTTCTTCATGCCGACATAGTAGTAATTGTCGACATAGTTAATGTCCACATAGTGCTTGGTGTTGGCATATTTAATGTGGACATAGCGCTTAATGGCGACCTCGTTCTTAATAACTAGACTCCAGATCTTCCTGCCCTGAATTCTGTTTTTAACCTGCCTGGGCCTGCGGTTTTTATGCGTATACGACTCCCACAATTTCGCGTATTTCGTATATACGCTGGCAAAAATATGGTCTTGTATAATATGGGAAACACCTATTTTCCAGCTTAGGTGAGGACCAGGCCAGTTCCAGCTGTTTGCTAAAAGTGGGGGCTGGCCGGTCAACAATCAAGGCACGGTTCGACATAAGTTGCAATGGAACGTGCCATTGGTCATGCGTACTGGAAGGCGTTGGAGTGCAAGCATGAGCAGTCCATCATCTTTTGCGCCGTCAATGTGCCCTTTTATTGGTTTTGTCTTTCTCTCTTTGGGAGTCCCCTAAAATCCTCCCGCGTACTTGAGCTAGGCATGGGCATTAGCCCGACCCAACCCGACCCGTGTAGGCCGACCCGAGATCGAGTTTGGGTCGGGGCAGGTATACCCGACCCTGGGTATTTGGGCCAAAGATGTTGACCCGACCCGCCCAGTACCTCTCGGGTATCTCTGACCCGCGTTCAGTTCGGGTATACCCGAGTCGGGTCGGGTATACCCTAATACCCTTTTGTTTGTTGTATTGATAAAACGCAAAAAAAAGTTTGTTCTGGACTATTCTAAAGGCATCTGTGAAGGAAGTTTGAGGTGAGAGTTGGTATTCTAGGTTGTCGGGTAGGTGAGATCTAGTTTGTCGGAAAAGGGTTGGATAGGGATACCGTTGAGTCTCGTGAGTTGGGGGTTGGGGGAAGCATTCGCAATATTCTTAAGTTGGGGGGAAGTAGAATTTGCCAATTTGTAAGTTGGTTAATTGGAGGGGGGGAGGGGATTTGCGAATTTCGTATATTGGGATATGGGGGTTACGAATTCAGAAAATTTTGCGATTTGAGGATGAGGATTTGAGGGTGCAGAACGTCGCAAATTTCATAGCTTAGGATTTTCACCAGAGTTCGCAAATTTCGGAGGTTGGAGGCTGTGGGGGGGGTTGGGAGAGCATTTTGCGTGTATTACGTGGGAGGGAGCTGTTGTGTGGGGGGGTGGGAATCCAGAACCCGAGCTGGATCTCGCAATAGCCAGATCCATCCCACTCGTATAATTATTTATGATATGAAAGGTCGACAACTTTTGACCTTTCAAAAACGTATCCCTTGGCACACCCCGACGGGTACGGGTATACCCGACCTTACTACGGGTTAGTGACCAAAGTTCGGGTCGGGTATACTCGACCCGGCGGGTATTCAAATACCCGACTTTGGATACCCGGGTCGGGTACCGGGTATTTTGTACTTGGCCGAGTATACACTACTGGACCCGCCCGGTAGTCAATCCCAATATAAGGACCCGACCCGACTAAAAAGTTGGGTCGGGTTGCGTAACCCGACCCGTCCGGGTCTTTTGCCCATGCTTAACTTGAGCACGGCCGTAAGCTACGGTGTTAGGGGAAGAGAAAACGCATGCGAGGTGGTGTGTAGTACATCCAAGACATACACAACAAATGCAATATCCTAGACAGCCATGGGTAGTTATCTGGGGTCATTCTTCAAGAAGCCTCACCATCTACTTCTGGGTACTCAGGTCTGCCGCCTATGTGCACATTATGACAAGGTCTCGCAATGTTCAAGCAACAAGATACACCGTGACGGGAAAGGCAGGTTCTCACTGTTCCATTCATGGGCAGGAGAATGAGAGTGAAGTTTTCTAAAAACAAGGCAGTAGCGAAGGGTTAAGACCCAAGGCCACGAGATAAAGGCTGCCATTTGATTTTTTTATACCCAAAGTCACCAATCCAGCCATTTTTCAAGCTGCCACCATTATTGGTCAATTCTGAACTCTCCCTGAGATCTCTTTTTTGTTAACTAAACATAATGATTTCTTCTTGCCAACGCTGCTGACTTACAGACTTTCCTTTACAAGATCAATATGTTCCAAAGTAAACAATGAAGACATTATAGTATTGACTACGCTGTCCTAAGCTCTGTGCATGCATAGCTGTTTTAGCTCGTTGTTGTATCCTGCTGTGCCTTTTCATCCCCCCCTCCAACATTGCGCACTTAATATCCTTTCTTGCTGCTTCAGAATGTGTGAACGTTTGCATTGCACGTTTGTGTAAGTCTGAGTATAGCGCAAGTTGTCTTCATTTTCTTTCACTTCTTACAATGGTTTTTTCTTGCATCAAACTGTTATAGAGTCAATGATAAAGCTGAGCACCTTGTTTGTGTTGTGCTCACACCCAGAAACCTTTTACTGTAGGTGAATTGTATCACAGTCAGATTTCAGGATGTCCATAATTTTGTTAGTCGTTGTCCCTCAATGATGTGTTTTTAACTATTGGGATCTAGAACCTCTATACACGTCCTTTAATTCACTCTTAGTAGTTCCCACAGGGTCACCTCCAAGGGTCCTCGGGTGCCTAGCTAAGCCAGCCCCTAACCAAGGGTCCGTGTTTGTAGAGGGACGCACTAAGTGTAAAAACAACGGCGTGCACTAGAGCACTCCCAAAACTCGTATACGCATCGTTAATGACGAATTGGTCGTGTGCAGAGAGTTCTCAATGCGTTGATAGAGAAAATATTCACTCAGAGCACTCAATACGTCAACACTTTTGAACGCAACCTTTCACGAAAAACACACATAACTCATGAACTGTTGAGGCGATTCACGAGCCGTGACCACACAAACGTAAAGCACAAAAATGCGCTACTCACATTCAACAAATTACCTTCGAACAGAACACTTCTACTTCCCTCATACTCGACGTATAGGCGGTAGGTTGTTGTGCAAACCATGTATTATTACTATTATTATTATTGTTATTATTGCTATTATTATTATTAGTATTATTAATATTATTATTATTATTATTATTATTATTCATCATTAATGCATGGGCAAATACCCAACCCGACCCGTCCAGGTAAACCCCAGGCGGGTATGGGTTGGGTCAATGCACACCCAAAAAAGAACGGCCCTTTTGGGTACCAGGTCGACCCGACAAGGTCGGATAGACCCTACCCGACCGGGCTGGGTTGGCAGGATGAGCTATTATGCATACCACAACCGACTAGACGTCAGGTCGGGTATACCCGGCCTGATCGGGTCGTATGTCCATGCCAAGATTCATGTCACGCTTTGCATGTGCTTCATGGCAATGGTTTGACCATAGCCGTTAATTGTGGTTCTGTTTTCTTGCTGTATTCAGTAATTATTTCCAACCATGATACCCTATGCACGTTGCACCATCAGAGATCTCAGCTACAATGCTCTGACTGGGTCTGTTCCATCCAACATCAGCAACTTGAGCAACCTCGTAGATTTGTGAGTACCATCAAGGGAATAAGAAAGAAAGCTTTCATGACCTCGCCAATGTTCAGGAATGAGAGGATACACTATAGTGACCTAAATCTAACCTGATTTGAGAATAAGCATGTACCCTAGGATGAGCAAGGGTTGTAGCTGGGCCGAGCTAGGCCGCTGACCCACCTAGGGGCCAGCCTGGGGGCCGGCCTGTGATGCGTCGGTTTCACACCAAGTCTGCCAGAGGTCTGCAGCAAGGAGATATGCTGGGGGTCGCCCATTTATCTGGACAAAGCTGACAACCTGTTTCATGTGGATTTGGTGACAAACACACCTGACTGACAGACCAGCGAGGTGGCGTGCCCCTTGCTGTGGGAAGCGACTTCTTGGTGCCTATATTACTTAACATATTAGGGTGTGAATCTTACTTCTCTTTGGTACTTCGTTTACTTTTTTGGGGGTGCTATTTGAGTTGGTGAGGTAGGTATTAACATAACTTGATCGCAACAATTAGATTCAAAGAAACTGGGTCGACGCTTGTCGACCCACCAAACAACGCGGGAAAATGGTGAACAACAAGCAACAAGTCAACATTACCTGGTATTGGGTCGACCCAACTTGGCCAGGCAACCCAGCGGGTTGGCAGGACCAGCTATTTTTGCATTCCTAACCCAACCCAGCTGAAAGTCAGGTTGGTTCGGGTAGACGTGAGCAACGAGCAAACTCAAAACGCATTTGAGTCGAGCGTTGCAAAACATGTCATGGCACCGAACCGAACATGTTCAGTTTTGGTCAAACATTTATGTTGCAAGGGTGTTTGATGTTCGCCTTGAGAGGGCGGACACTTTAATGTTCTCCCAAACATCACCATGTTAAGAACAAACCCGAACATGTTCGGTTCGGGAGAGTGATTTCCCTGTAATCACATTCTGGCCTCGCTTGTCCCCCATCGTTCCTCCCTCCTACACCTCCACCTCCCGTCTGTTGCATGGCCATGTATGCCGCAAACCTAGTGTCAACTTTCTGAAAGTGATGCCTAGACAATGCTTGGCGGAAACTGGCTTGCCATGACCAGACGTAATCCAGCGGAAATCCTAATACCATGGATAACCTACTAAGAAACCCTAAAAACGGCCACTTCAGCTCGAATTTCCTTAATCAACTGTAAAATTCCGGGGAGTGGCACTAGCTTACAAGCGACTTCTAGCATTCGATGCGCGTAAACCTAAAAGTTGAGATTGAGCTCGAAATGAGCTCAATCTCAACTTTCCACGGCCCAAATACCAAACCAGCATGACCAATTCCGCGTTGGTTATATCGCGAACACTTCACTGTTTGCGTAAACCAGCAACAATTCAGAACATGTTCGATGTTCCTAACGCCATGCAAAAAATTTCGAACTAGACATGGCCATACGACCCGGCTGGGGGGTGACCCAACCTGACCCGAGTTTTTGGCCGGTTCGGGTCGGGGTTTTGAATGACCCTGACCCCCGCCGGGTCGGGTCCACTCCACCCGATACCCGAATTGGGCTATATCTTTGGGTAATGCTGACCCGTTGGGTTGGGTCGACCCGAACCGCAATCCGGTCAAGATACAGAACTCGTACGTTAGACTACAGTAAGGTTGCGCGAATCTGGCCTGCATCGGGCTCGCAAAATAAGGCCATGCTAGCTAAAGCGTAGGAGAAGGCACAGGAGAGATTGCGGAAAAGAAAACCTAGGTTGACGTTCAAATTTGTACCCCACCGTCACCAAATTTGTGAATAATATCGTCTCCAACCGATTCCCCCTCCCATCACCGATCTTCACAGCATTGCATCTAGAAAAACCAACCGATTTGAGATATGAAAATTGGACAGTCAAGGTCACTTCTGGACCTAGATCAAGTTGATCTCGTATTTTTCCCAGACCTATTAAATGTGCCGTTGCATAAATCTTCAACAACTTTATTTTCACGCCCAAAAACGTAATATGCTCGCAAAGTTAGATGAGCAGAGAGATACATTGCTTTTCTTGGGTTTTTTTATCAGACTCGAAGTCGGGTGACCATACCCAACCCCAGATCAACAACTACCTGAGGTTCAATGGGCGGGTTGGGTAGCGGGGCCTTATTTGACCCGCCGACCCGACCCGACCCGACCACGCCTTGTTAAGATATAGTGGCCAGCCATCGCTAGTAGGAAGAGAACAAGTTGTATTAGAAGAAGGTGTTGAGATACATTTGAAGAGGAGTTCGGAAAAGCGTAACTGAACTTGGGGCTTGATCAGTTTATGCAACAAACTACGAAATGAGCCTAAACTAAATACTGAAGTGTAACTTGCTCTAAACATGATGAAATAAAAATAACACCATGATAAATACCAGAGCAAACTCTAGCCTACTACAACACACCAACAAGCTAGGTGAAGCTCTGGAACGGAACACCTAGCGAACGAGAACACCCCCTGAATTGGCGAGACGAGTGAGTCCAAGCCCGTGCACATAGGAACAATGCGGCTGACAAAGGAGGGCCTTCTGGAGATGTCAGCAAGGTTGGTATCAGATGCCACCTTCTGAAGGCGGCCCGACTGCACCAAGTCACGAATGAAGAAGTGCCACACCTCAAAGTGCTTGATGCGACCGTGAAAGGCAGAATCATGCTCCCACTATCACAGGCAAGCAACACTGAGAGTGGCCCAACTCCACAAGGAGATAAGGTAGTCAACAAGTTTTCAGAGATGCCAACGTGTCAGCATACAACTCAGCTTTGTAGGAGGAAAAACAGAGGGAGGAGGAGCGAGTGGAGCGCCAGCTGACAAGGTCACTACCAAGATGAAAGCAATATCCTTGAGAGGGACGACGACCAGAGCGAGAGTCAGCCCACGATGAATCGTTGTAGCCTGAAACAACAAGGTTTAGCAACCTAAGCCGACAAAGCGAGAGAGGGCACTCAGGGGGTAAGCGAGCTTCGGGCGAGTGCACATCGTAGCATACATGAGTGACCCAACAGGCTCAGGATGGCTGCAAGTCAGAGGAGGGAGCAATGATTTCAGGAGCAGTGTGTCTAGCGGGGTCCCGTCCAGAGCAGCTGCATGTGCATATCAAGCACGTGGCGGGGGAAGGTACGGGCTAAGGGCGCTGCCCTGACGGGCACTTCCGACACGGGCGATAACAAGGGGACAAGCGTTCTGCCCAAGCGACGCACTGTTCTTGGGGTCCTTGATAAAAAATGCTCGGTTTGTGACGCATGGCCTCATACAACGCCATCTGCAAGCCCGCCACCCCCTCCACTGCCTCCGCTAAGTTCCACATCCGGCATATGCTCAGCATGGGATCTCTCCCCACACGGATGGGGGGAGGTGCAGTCGGAGCTTCGCGCCAAAACGCCGCCACCTGGCCCGGGGCATGGCCAAACGAGAACGGAGGAGCGGAGAAGTCAGGGGCCTGTCAAGGGGTGCGGTAAGGCGCCCTTACCCCCCCCCTCCCCGCGCAGGCAAATACTCGCGCAAGGTCGGCGCGCGCAATGGAGCCGCCAGGTCAGCAGCCGAGGCGAAGGGAGGATCATTGGTTCCGGCGATATGCACGTGAGCCGCCTCCCCTCCGGCCTACGCCTGCCGCACCACAGCTGCTAACACGTTCACCGCACGATTGACGGTGGAGCCCTGACCGCTTCCGCCGCGCCCCGAGCCATTCAGCGGACCTCGACGGCCTCCAGATCCCGCCGAATGCAGACGTGGCGGGGATAATTCCAACGACGTCTAGGTGATCCCCTCCCCCGCCTCGTCGGAGATGGCCGTAGAGAGCCTTGCACGGGAGATCACGCTCACGGCGAACGCTGATTATGACCCCTCGCCTAGCAGGCTGACCACTGGCAGAGGGGTGCCGAGAGGAGTGATGGCGTGTAGGAGACCGCTGATCGCCCGCTTCGTTACGAGGAGGCTCGCGCCGTTCTGGTGATCGGCGACGAGGAGATCGCTGCTGCGGTGGGTGTCGCTGTGGCGAACGTCCGCGCTCCTGATGTGGCGGTTTAACCCAACCCGAGCAGGCGCCCACGAGTATTCCGGCGAGGTGGGCCGCGGGCCCCCCCGAAGAGGAAGAGGTAGCCCGCGCTCGAAGCGGCGGACGGGCTCACTTGCGGAGAGGTGCGCAGCGACACGCGGACGAGGTTCGGCAGGCTCTTGCTCCGACTGCGCTCTCTCCGCAGTACCCTTCTTTCTGGGTTAAAAGCAGGTTCACCCCCTTCGCTTTCTTCATTCTCAGCTTCGTCCTCTGCCTCCTCGCTGTGCACCTCCTCGCCGCCTTCCGCGCCTTCGCGAATCAGCCTTTCCGCAGTTCTCGTGTAACCGCTTGCACCGGTGCGGCGCCGATTTGTGCCGCGCGCTCCTCCACCTCTTCGTCCTCTCCCGTTCCCTCGTCGTCCGCGGCGGCTGCTGCTGCGTCCCACGCGGATTCCCCGCGTTCCTCTTCCTTCTGCGGCTCCCACGCGCCGTGACCACCTCGTCCTCGCTTTGTCGGCGCGCTGGCGTCGGCTGCGGTTCGATCGGGGGTGATGGACCCATCCGCGAGACTGGATCCGGAGCTGGAGGGTTCCGCGGAGAGCGCGCTGCCGGAGCTTGCGCCTGCCGGGCCTCGCCCGCGTCTTCAAGCCCACCCCTCCGCAAGCGAGCCCGTCCGCCGCTTCGAGCGGGTGCAAACTCTTCCCCATCGGCCTGCCGCGCGCCCCACCTCGCCGGAGTATTTGTGGGCGCCTGCACGTGTTGCGTCGGACCGCCCAGACGGTCAGCCGCGGCAGGAGCGCGGGCGCTCGCCTCCACGTCAGCCTCCTCGGCAGCCTTCTCCGCGCCGCCCTTCTCCCGAGCATCGCGAACATTATCAGTGCAGGGAGGGGGATCAGCGCTCCCCTGCGCGTCCACGCTCTCCTCGCCGCCCATCCCCTCGTGGTCGGGCAGGCCAGCGCTCACCCCGAGCGCGATCCCCTGCGCAACGCTCTCCGCGGCGATCTCCGGCGACGCGGGGGAGGGGGTCGCCTGGGCGTCGCTGGGAATCGGGTCGCCGCGAGCAGACCCCCCCGCGTCCGAATTCGGCTGGTTCCGGGGGACGGCGGGGCCGGTGGAATGGCGGAGGGCGAGGCGGGAATGGCCGCCAGCCGGATCCTGCCCTCGATCGCGCCGCGAACACGTTTGTGGAGGTGGTGCGGCAGGCCCGGGCGAGCGGGGGGCCGACTCACGTCCACATTGAGGTGACCAACGGTCCCCCCTTCGCCGCGGAGCCCGACCAGGTGGCTCCCCTGCGCGCGCCGACGCTGAGCGAATATCTGCCCGCGCGGGTGGGGAGGCCTGAGTTCCGCACCCCTCGTCAGGTCCCCGGCTTCTCCGCGCCGCGCTTGTCTGTTGGCCGGACTCCTGGCTGGCCGACGGTGTTTCCGCGCGAAGCCCCGACTGCACCTCCCCCCACTCGCGCGGGGAGAGACCCCATGCTGACCATGTGCCGGATTCTGAATCTAGCGGAGGCGTGCGATGTGGTGGCGAACTTGCAGCTGGCGGTGTGTGCGGCCACGCGGAACTTTCCGAGCAGTTTCGGTCCAGGATCCCGAGGTCCTGCGTGACTTTGGCAGAATCGCTCGAGTCGCCGTTGGCACCCGTGTCGGATGCGCCCGCCGGGGTAGCTCCCTTAGCCCGTACTTTCCCCCGCCACGTGGGGGATCTTGTAGGGGCTGCTCGTGGCGGGACCCCGTTGGACACGCTCCAGTCGTCGGCGTTTCTCCTCCTTGCAGTATCGGCGTGCATGCGCTCGATGCTTGAGGTGGACGGGGCGGAGCCGTACACGATGTAGGCTTCCGCCGCGTGTAGAATTGCATGCTGCGCCTCTTGCTGATGCCCTGCTCCTTTGCTTTTGTGTGTGTGTGTGCCCTTTATAAGCCGAACCCACGTTGTGTTTCTTGCCACCAGGAACGTGCGGCCGAAGGCGGCGCGAGCCGCCGAAAATGAAACACCCACGAAATAATGAGGCAAGGAAGGCACGGAGGGCCCCTTAAATAGGTTCAGAGGGAGAGGGCAGAGGGGAGAGGGAGAGGGCTGAACACTAAGGCCTTCTCTCTCTCACTCTCTCTCCGCCGAAAATGAAACACCCACGAAATAATGAGGCAAGGAAGGCACAGAGGGCCCCTTAAATAGGCTCAGAGGGAGAGGGCAGAGGGGAGAGGGAGAGGGCTGAACGCTAAGGCCTTCTCTTTCTCTCTCTCTCTCAGCCGCTGGAAAATGAGAACCAACACGAAATAATGAGCAAAGAGAGCTAACAGCAGTCCTTAAGTAGGCACGGAGGGCAGAGGGCAGAGGGAAGAGGCCGAGGGCAGAGGGCTAAGGTTCCTCTCTCTCGCTCTCAGCCGCTGGAAAATGAGAACCAAAACGAAATAATGAGCAAAGGGAGCTAGCAGCAGCCCTTAAGTAGGCACGGAGGGCAGAGGGCACGGGGAGGGGAAGGCCCAGGTGGAAGGCCGCCGCGGTTGAGAGCTGTGAGGGTCCCATCCGAAGCGAGGGGATGATGGGCAGCGCCAGCAGCATGTCCCCTACTCCAGAACCAACCACCGACTGCACCCGCTGGGCGTGGCCAGAGAGGGGGTTAGGGCGCATCTGCCTCGCTTCATCCAAGACCCTTAGGTAGTGGTGGGTGTGAACCGCCAGCGCGAGGGACTGTTGCAGCTTTAGTTGTTGGGGATTCGCCTTCCCTGCCTAGAGGGCCTCCAGAGCCTCTGGCGGGAGGGCTGCTTCTGCCGCTGCAAGACGCGTTGGAAGGGCGTGGGCGGAGCCGGGGTCGGGGTCCAATAGGGGAAGGAGGGAGGTCACATCGGGGTTTAATGTGTCGGTCAGGGAGTGAAGGAGGTGGGATGTTCCCACCACCGACGCAAGGTAGGCGTAGCTCCCTTCAATGGCGGGGTTGGTGATGCCTAGCCCTCCCAATGTGACAGGTAACACCGCCTGCCGCTATCCGCCCCCTCTCCTCATCACTCCTTGGTGTAAAAATACGAACCGCCTCCAGGAAGGTATGTAGCAGCCGCTCCCCCCACGCCGACCACTCAGCTTCAGGTAGCGCCGACAGAGGGGTTGCCCTGGCCAGGAATGAGGCTCGCCGGCTCACACAGCGGGTGAGTAGGAGCAGGCTAGCTGGGGGTCCATCTGGGACAAAAGCGGCAGGGGTTCAGCCACAAACGCCAGTCTCTCCCTTACACGCTCGGCGCAGCCAGCGGCGGTGCCGATTGAGCTTCCAAGGACCCGCAGCCCATCCGCCGCAAAGGAGGTGTTTGGCGAGAGGGATGCGGGGTCGACGGCGGCTGCGGACCAAGCCTCCCACTTCCCGAGGTTGTGCTCGAGGCCCATGCGGTTCAGCGCGGCGGTGAGGCAAGAGAAGGCCTCCGTACATGCTGCCGCCTCGCCCAGTAGGGTGATGCCGTCCACATAGGCGAGAATCACAACTTGGGGGTGGGCCGAGGCGGTAGCGACCAAGCAGGGGTGGATGTTTGCCGCAAAAAGTAAGGGGCCAAGGGGGTCCCCCTGGCGGACGCCTCTAGCGCTCTGAAGAGGCGCCACACCGAAATCGTGGTCGAGGTGGAGAGAGGAAGGAGCCCCGTAAGAGAGGCGGGCGAGGGGCACCAGGCTCTCCAGTGCGTCGTTCTTTAGCCCCTTGAACACCGCCGCCCTTTCCACCGCATTGAATGCGTTAGCGAGGTCAATCTGCAACGCCGCTGAGCCCGCGTTCACTTCCAGGTAAGTGCGCGTTGTGTGGATGGCTGCCTCAATCCCTCAAGCCACCGCCACTCCGAATTGAAGAGGCGCGAAGTGCGCTCGTGCAGAGACAGTGCAGCTTTCGCGACAATGCGCAGCAGGCATTCGCCAACAGCTATCAGCCGGGTTCCCCCCTGAGGTTTTGTGAATGCTAGGAGGCGCGAGGCAGTAAGGAGTTCTGCAGCCTCGGCACTCAACCTTCCTGCTAGCGCTGTGTTGGTGAGTGCCATCAGGTGTGCGAAGATGTCTGGGTTTCCGAGCGCGGCGTCTAGGATGTGCTCAAAGGTAGTTCCCGAAGGCCCTGCTCCTACCTCGTTCGGGAGTTTGGCGATGATGCGTCTGAAATTGCAGGGCTCTATCGCAGGTGCATTCTCAGGGGAAAAGTCATGTACCTACTCAGGTAGAGGAAGGAGTGCTTGCGGGTGTCTGGCTTCCTAGGCCGCGAGCACTTCGGGAGGCGGGTGAGACGAGTGTGGCTTGGAGTGATTGGAGTGACTTGGAGAGCTTGTCAGGCGCGTGACGGGGCTGGGGTGGGAGGGAGATTGCCTCTACCGCTTCGTCATATAGGCTGGCTCATAAACCTTGGCAAAGACGGAGGAGTCGATTCATCATCATGCTCCAGTCAAGTTTGCGTGCTGCCGAGGTGCGAAGTAAATTTCGCAGGAGGAAAATCAGTAAAATCAGGTCGAGCTGGTATTGGCTGCCAGGTGGAGAAGTGGGGTCAGTAAACAGACAGCACAACAAAAAAAAGCCCTGTTTGATTCACCTCGAACATTTTTGTTTTAAACCGAACAGGCGTTTCTACGCATGGGAAACGGCCCGGCCGGATCGGATTGGCCCGAACAAAATTTTGCCCGGGTTGGGTCAAGACTTTCAATATCCTGGCCCGGCCGGGTCGAGTCAGTCCGACCCGGGCAAAACCCCGCCCGACCCGATGTTGAATTTCGGGTTGGGTCGGGTCGGGTTTCGGGCCCCGACCCGGAATCGGGTTAAAACAAGGTAGCTGGGTCGAGCTTTGACCCGACCCAGTTTTGACACTAAGGAAAACCCTAAAGTCGATGACGAGGGGCCATTTTTCCCCCCCACATCAGTCCCGCAACCTAACTTACCATCGGCCCAAAAAGGCTAGTTTCTAGGCAAGTAATAGGCTCAATGTTGAGATCGGAAAGTAGTAAGCCCAATGTCTAATCTCAATGTCAAAAGATCTGTAAAGAGTGGGCGTAGGGGTGGGGGTTGGGTTGGGGATCAAAGATTCGGTTCAGTGCGGTAAAGAATGGTGAGCAGTGGCAATTTGGTTGGAAATGTGTCTTCCAACACATTTGTTGGAAACAACTGCCTAGGCTGAGTAAACTACAGGCAAAATCCTAATATCGAGATCGGCAGCGAAATTGACGATCTGCGCTTATGGGCTGCCGATTTGCGCAGATCGACGTGCGAAAGCACCGACCTCCACAGAGGGCGGGCGGAAGCGGGTTTCTCTAATCTGACCCGACCCTGTACCCCCGGGACGGGTCAGGGTCTCCAACACCCTGGCCCGAGTCTGGCCCGACCCGACCCATCCCAGGAACCTGGCTGCACCGGCCAAGTCTGTTTGGGTCGGGCCGCCTGCTCATGCCTAGGCGTTTGAGCTTTTGCTCAAGTCTAGGTTCGTGTATTCCCGACTCGGCTAGGACGTATGTCCATGCCTTGTTTGGTGGCGTCCTTCGCATGTGCTTCAAAGCAATGGTTTGACCGTATCCGTTAAAAGTGTTTCTGTTTTGTGGTTGTATTCACTAATTCTTTCCAACCATAACACCCCTTGCATGTTCTACAATCAGGTTTCTTGAATTCAACGCTCTGAGTGGGTCCATTCCATCCACCATCGGCAACATGAGCAACCTCGTAATATTGTCAGTACGAGCAGGGAATCAAGAAAGATATCTTACATGACATTGCTCAGGTTAAGACAAAAAGGTTCAACTTGTCTGGCATTGGGCTGAGCCAGGCCGCTGACCCAGGGGCCAGCATGGAGGGCAGCCTGTGATGGGTTGGCTTCACACCAAGCCTGCCAGAGGTCTGCAGCAAGGAGACAGGCTGGGGGTCGACCACTATTCTGCACAATGCAGGTACGTTCTATTCGGTTGTGGTGAAGATTACACCTGCCTTAGTCCATGAGAATACTAGCCATAGTACATAACATTCCTGCAGGAAGCTGTTCGTTCTTTAGTTGCTACTAAATGCTGGGCCGAGACCGACAAGCCAGACATGCAAGAAGTTCAGTCTAGCCTGTGTTGCAAACAGGCTGGCCGGGTCATGTCGGACCTAGTTTAGCCGTCTGACCATGTCCATTGCACTCATGGCAGTCCTGGCCTGTCAGTGAGCTCATTTTTAATTCGCCCCCAGTAATGAAAGGAATCTACTATGTCAAATCATGGTCGTTTCAGTGCACGTTGCACAATGAGCTGACTGGCACACGTGCCGAGTGGCCAGCTGATTGGGCCTGTCATACGAACTGGTACGGCTCATCACAATCTGTCAGATCCACACGGATTTTCCTGTTTGCAGCTAGAAGTGTCTGGATTTCACGTTCCGCCACCACATTCACATGAAATCGAAACATTATATTGCTTTCTCCATATCTAGTGCTACTTACAGTGGCTTTGAGGTAGGAAGAAGCAAGAAAATGAAGGTGATGTACGATTGAAACTAAAAGAATATGTATATATATACATTCACGATAACCATCTGTTCATTATTGTTTTTGAAAGTTAACGTCATTTTATGCTGAGCATGCGAAAGCTTGTCAACAGAGTGGACTTCACGCTTGTCAGCGTAAGATCAACAAGCGATGTCTTGGCTTGTTGAGCCAGCTACTGTCCACTCGAGACTCGAGTCCAGCTGGCAGAGCGAGAAAGGTGGCTTGGGTCAATCACCATCTTAGTTGTGATTGATAAAGAGAGCCATCGGCTTGGGTCATAACTTTGCCAATCCACAGAGTCATGAGTCCCTGTGAAGCAGCAACGAGGTGC